AGTGACTGATATCACCTGACCGTGATTGGGCGTCTCCTCTAGGCGCTTGTTCATGGGGATCACGTGACCATGAGCGACGGTACGTTTCGTAACACAAGCTTCCCTCTCCAACCGCCAAGACCCTTTGGCAATTAAACCATAAGATCCTTTCTTCTTCTTCTGCGCTTCCGCTTCGAGGAAGGAAGTATTCTTGAAACAGTATGCGTGGAGCTGTCGTGTGATTCAGTGGAGGATTGATCATTCGTGCCGATGCTTGACTGTTCTGGTGCAGGACTGCCCAAAGACAAGTATCGCTTTTCGACTTGATCAGCCCAAGAAGTCTGATTGGCGCTTGATGATTCAGAATCACTGTTGAACAACTCGACGGTACGTCCACTGCGATACGCTGGAGGGCTTGAGGGACTCGGATGAGTTCCTTGCTTCGCATTGCTACCAGTGCTTGGATTCGAAGAATCGATACTGGAGTTGCGTGCGTAGGCTGCCTTGGGATGCTTGGGTGATAACGAATCGGGGATTCGTCCTGCATTCCATCGGTCATTCTTGCGCAGTGGTCGCGCCCTTGATTGGTTACTGTATTCAGAAGTATCGTTCGCCCGAGGTGGCTTTGGACATTCAAATGCGTGATGTCCAATATGATTGCAGTTCCAGCATCGACCAGAGAACTGCCCTTGTCCAGGATGTGAATGGCGAGAATCTTCGCGAGTCCCTTTGAATGGCTGATTGATCCATTGGTTAATGGAAGGTGAAGACTGCTGGTCAGACTTGGTCGACTGCCGCTGCTTGGTCTTCTTCTGTTTGCCTTTCTGGTTAGGACATGTCTCCATATGTCGTCGGGGCGTGCTGTCTACTGAAGAGGAAGATGTAGATGATGAAGTACTTTCATCGTCGTCTTCTTGCCGTCTCTTGTCAAATTTCCTTTGGACGATGGCCTTGATACCACGCCATTCTTTTTGACTGAGATCGAGCGATGACATCAGTACTTCCTTCCATATTGACGTAGGGAAGGCTGTCTGATCGTGATGTGATGAATGAGTACGTATGGCGCCAATTCGAATGGTATTCATGCCAAGAATATGTTCAGACATTCGATCGATATCCATAGGTTCGTCATCGTCTTCTTCGGCTTCCTTCTTCTTCTGATTGACATGGTGGTCTCGATTGTCACCTCCGAGAAGAAGCTTGACAAGCTTCGTATTGACCAACTTCGTTACCAGTTGCTCAATCTGCTTTCGCATCTTCTTCGTGATTGACGGATCTTTTGGGGATTCTTTTGATCCGGTAGATGCGTGTGCATCGTTCTTCTTAATTGAAGAAGTCTTCTTCTGCTTCTTCTTTGATACGGCCTGTACGGGCAGGGTTCGATCAATGTTTGGCTCCTTTGCGGGACATTGGTCCATCTCATGCCCTGGCTTCCTGCACCTATAGCATAGGCGTTTCTTGACTGGAAGGTTCCGTACTTGTCGTATTCGTCGTGCCCTGTCGACGTCCATTGCATTGGGATCGTCTATATCCATCGAATCTTCTTCATTTATTGAATCGCCCTGATTCGCATGTGTGATGAAGTCGAAGATATTGCTTCTTCCCTTATGGACGGTTCGAAGATCATTGACTTGTCTTGCCACATCACAAGCATCCTTATACGTGGTTGGAGGATTCGAGGTAAGGAAGACTTTTTCTGCTAACTTCGATTCCAAGCCTCGCTTGAAATGGACAAGCTTGGTGTAGTCGTCATCGATTTCAGCATAGCGGAATAGAATGTCGAGATTCCCGATGTAATCGTCGACCTTTCCTTTCTTCTGCCTACACTGATTGTCGAGTAGCGTTTGCCATGCTTGGTCCTTGGTTGCGACTCCTCCATACTTTTCTTGGAGTGTCATTCGAAAGTCGCGATAAAGTCCTAGATCATCCGATCTTCCTGTTGATGCGATCATCGCTGCTTCCCATGATTCGACCCATTTTGCTGCTGCCGAACCAGGTTCGAAGTGGGATAGGATGAATGTGATCTGACTATAGTCATCGTCGTATATGTGGATGTTTGCCTGGAGATGTCGTTCTCCAGCCTAGCTGTAATTCCTCCTTTTCCGATTCTGGTTGTGCAGAATTATACAGCGCGTAGAGATTCATTTCCAGGAGATATTCCTGCCACTGGAATTCTAGACACGTCGGTCCTGGATGCACTGGTGGTCCATTTGCTGGATCGTACCGTGCTTTGATGGGATTTTGACCAGTAGTTCCCAAACTACCTGCTTGTGCCATGGCCGACTGTGGCCTTATTGGTACTCCGAGTGGCGTTACTGGCCTTCCTCCTTCCGAGGCTGTCCTAGTTAAAGGTGTCGTCCTGACTCCTTTCCATAATCCTAACCCATCGTAGGGTTTCTTGGATGTTGGCGTAACGCTGGAGTCGCCGCTCCTTAATAAACTTGGATTGATGCCGAGAGGATTCCATTCCTCCCGTCCTTTATCCTTGTTTGATCCTTCGGCGTCTTCTGGCCTTGGATCGACTTGTATTACTTCTCCTCTAGGAAGGTCCGTATGCGTTAGGAATTCGTCCTCGAAATCCTTTGCAATGTCCTTCCTATTATTGATTACGCGTTGAATTTCTTCAACGTCATGTTCGAGCTCTCGGAGCTCTTGTTGTTCTTCTGGGGTTGTAAGGTTCCCCAGCCGTTGTCGTCTTCGCAATGCAATGGCTCGCGTATTCCTGACATCGGCAAACCAATCTAATTCTTCGTTGGTTGCATCGTTCCATGACAACGGCGTCATATATCCTTTGTCTCCTTGATAGCCTACCGGCTCATCTCCGGAGTCTGATTCGTATCCTGGATTCTCCCGATATGACATCTTGCCTTTTCTTGGTGGCCCTTAACCAATTGTTCGTCGACTGCACCGGTCCGCGTCTCCACACAGAATTCTTCTGGATAGTCACACGGACTACCGCTAGTTCCTTGAATCTTCTTGATTCTGAATTGCCTTCCCTGGGAGGGGCTTTAGCACGTCTTCAACGTGTGCCTCAGATGAGGGCTTCTCTTCTGGATTACCACACGGGTAACCGCTAGTGCTTGAGTTCGATAGACACACAGATTTGATTGACCCACACAGGTCCGTGGAAGTGACCTCACAGGTCTTGATTCTCCTGTAGCGTCCAAGTAGACCCCACTTCTTGTAAGTGGTTCTAAACCTAAATAGGTTGACCTATAGAAAAACCTCTTCCAAATGTTATGAAGCGTTCCCTGCTAGAACGTTCAGAACCACGTGTGCTTTCTCACACGTACTAGTCCACAGCGTGGACAGAGACTCAGATACCAAATATACCTGACGTCTCCAATAGTCAGGCAGACTATTAACAGGGTTTATAGTGTGGTCAAGCCTAGTAGACGATATAGCAGTGAGGTCCTCACTCTACCCTTGCTAGGCCTTGGCCGCTACAGCTACTGCTCGTTCACCCGCAGGTTACTAGGTTCGCTGTTCTGACTCTAGCAAGCGTACGAGCTTACTACCTCTTGAGAGCGAGTACGATTGCACGAGGGTTCTAGAACTGAGAACGTTCAGAGTCACAGGTGGAAGAGGTTAGTCTTCCCACTGCTGCTCCGCCCCTTTATATAGTTGCAGACCTATAGTCTGGGGTACTAGTACAAGGGGTCCTCTACACTGCCTCAGTGATAAAGATAGGTGAAACACACCGGAGCTTAGCTGCTACGAGCCAGGTAATTGGCGAGCTAAGAAAAGCGTAGGTGAAATACCTGAAATATGAAATGAGAACCAAAGTCCTGGATCGCAGATCCTGGGGTTAGAGTTTGAGAACCCGAGAAGCTGTCCTCGGTCACACAGTGACTAGAAGCTGTCCTTGGTCACATAGTGACTGATATCACCTGACCGTGATTGGGCGTCTCCTCTAGGCGCTTGTTCATGGGGATCACGTGACCATGAGCGACGGTACGTTTCGTAACACTGACTATGCCAATCTTTCTAAACAAACTGAACATGCAAAGACAGAATTTAATGCAAAAGCTAATTGATGACTATCAATACCAAGAATACATGGGCCAATGCCCTGATAGATAATCACATTTCATGAAAATTATAGCTTATCAAGACAAAGTGGATTGATGACAAATGTTCATTGAAGAACAGACAAAATACTCATGAACAAGAGCACCCACAACCTAAGCCCATATACTACACCTTCACCTTCTTATTTCTCCTGCCTCTATGCTTAGCTGTTTGAGCTGCAGCTTGACATTTCTGGCCAACTTCAGTTGTTCCACTCTCCTTCTCAATTATGTGCTGGTTTTTCTCTCCCTCTACCTGCTTAGCTCTACTCAGAGCCAATTCTCACTGCTTTCAAAGTGACATGGTGTCCAGTTGTGCTGACTTCTTTTTTGAACAGCTGGGAGCATCAGAGTCAGTGTGAGGATGATTGGCAGTCACAGAGGAGACACCATGAGGATAGCAGCATCAAGCTGTTGCTTGCATGACACCTGCACAGAAGATGCAGTCACATCAAGGCTGATGAAAATGTCCATCTGAGACTCTGAGGTGGAAGTTGAAATATGCAGCACTAAAGATGCAGCAGCTGGAAGGTTTGATACTGACAAGGGTGGGAGCGATGGTGGCAGAAGATTTGCAGACAATGAGACTGCACTGAAGCCTGCAAAAAAGCCTGGAGTGGTTGATGTCTGTATGAGTGAGGCATTGTTAATAGCTGAGGTTGCAACCATCAGAGGCAGAAATAGGGACATGTGCAGTATCTCAGCATGTAAGAAGTTTGTGAAGTCAAAATTGAAGTTGAGGTCATATGTATTGTCAAGATCTACATTTGTCATCTCAAAAAGCATCCCACTGTGATCTGCTGATGTCCATGGTGCCAAAGACTGTTAAGTCCAGTAGCACACATGTTAGGCTTGGACCTGCTCAATAGTAGGATAAGCATGTGGCAGCAAAAGGAAGTTGTGCAGAAACAGTGTGATTGGCTTATTGGCATGGCTGAGGACACCATCATGAACAGATAAGAAGGCATGCCCTTGTCAAGACCCAGTGCATTGGATGCAACAGAGGCATGTCAACTTGAGCAATAGAGGAAACTGAATTGGAGCACTCTGCTGAGAACATCATATGGTCCAACCCTTTCATCAGCTGAAGTGAAGTTACAAGGTTCACAGAAGCAGTGGTCTCATTGTCCGACAAGGCTGAAGACTTCTCGAGCTGAGTGATGCCATCATTTGCTGTTAACTCATGGATGTCAGCTTCATCTGACATAGGGGCAGTGTCCATGTCAAGTTCCATAACATCCAGGACCTGCTGTAGGTCAGCTTCATTGAGCTGAGAGAGGCGATCATCATTCAGCTCACTCTGGATGTCCTCCTTCTCATCTAGATTGTCAGCTGATGCTTGCAATGCAAAGCTTGCTCAAACCTCAGTGGCTGTAGATAATCAACTTCTCATGTCAGAGTGTTTGACAGCAGGTGAACATGTATTCATGGTAAACTACATTGAGAAACTTGATATAAGGTTTGATAATCCAATTCTTAAAGTCAGATTGGATGTCTCTAAAGTGGTGGCTGATGGATGTTTTCCGTGATGGTAACTGAGCATTATATATCAGTGCACATTTCATAAAGAACATACAAAAATGTTCTGATATTGCCATCGTCCTCAGGGTAAGGCTTTTACCACTGATAATGCTGGAAGACTATCTGGTCTTCTGTGTGAGTTCTCCAATAGGCTTCCTCACCATGGATGGAATGAACTTGAGCATCCTGGATATGAGAATTAGAAGTGAAATTGAGAACAGTACAAAACTTACTGTTCCATGCTGCAGGCATGGGCATAACCCTTAATCCTTCACCATCCTCATTACAAATATCAAGCTGCACTTCAAATTTGGCTTGAATCTCAGCTTTGATGCTGTCATCTCCTTCAGCAAATGATTTGTCTATCAGTGACTTGATGACAGTGAGTGTCTGCTTTGGCCTGAGTAATTGCTCTGCAATGGCCTTCTTGACAGCAGGTCAGACCTTCATGTCATAGTACTTCTGAGAGTAGAGTTTCACAAGCTTAAGTCAACATTGACCAGTCAGCTTTGTTGCACCACTGGGGCCCACATTAAACTTAATAGAAAAGTCTCCTCCATCATAATACTGAGCCTTGGCAGATCTGTTTCGAAACCAGGAGTGTAGCTGCTGTATGCAATGTGTGCATGTCAGCTAAGGTAAACATTGTGATGTAGACAGCAGTGCTTACAATTTTACAATGCTCAATTGCCATGCTTTACTGTGCATCCTGTTCACTAGTTAACTCTAGCATCTCCCCAAATAACTTTCTTGCACTTAGAGAAGCATTGAAACCACTCACGGTTCAGCTGCACCCAGAACTTCCGTAGATTCTGATCTTCTGACTCTTAAGATAGCTGCCATACTTCTTCTTAAGCAAGTTGCACTTCTCATTTGTTGTTCAACATCGAGTGGGAATGCTGTCAAATCTGAGAAGGAGATTCATGTGAGCACAAGCAAGCTGAAGGAGAGGAGAATAATACATTACGCATGCACCACAATACATCACCATAGTGTAGCTGCTCTTTTATCTTTGCAATCTCAAGCCAATCAAATGGAGTTCTGAATGCTGGTGATGACATCTGAATAGTGGCCACCAATTGAAAAGAAACAGCATGAGGCATGAGCCAATGAATAATTTGCACTCGTGAGTGACCTGATAGGCTATTAAAGTAGGTCATCGAAAATAAGAACTTCAGTGGCATACCATAGATCATATCCTCCCTATATCCTCACTTGCTTTCTCCCAACAACGTCAAAGTCAAATGACAATCACAATGGCAAAAATCATGTTGAGCAAAACCATCTGAGGCATAACAGTAATGAAGCTACCATGGTCTCATTGGAGATGATGATGGAAGTGCTACATCTTATAGCTGAACAGCATGCCAGTGAGTTTCATACTTTTTGATGACTTTGAGCACTGCTCACATTGATAATGCAGCTGAATGCAGCATGTGCCACCATGACTACATCAGTGGCAACACCATATCTTTGATACTCCATGATCATAACTGATCCTCCAGTATCAACACAATCTTTTCTATCACATGCAATGCTTTCATTCTAGTGGCAGTAGAGTCAAGCAGCAACAATGCATGTGCTCATGAGGCTGAGTATGCTGACTGTCATTATGTCAATGCTGAGTGAGAACCAGTTTGAGCACAACCATGATGAGGCCAGGCCTATAGCAGCTGTTGAGCAGCTGCCTTCAGCACACTGGTACTATATCATGCATGGTCATGCAGTTGAGATCTTTGCTGGGTGGTGAGTCAATCTCAGCATACTATGCAACTGTCCTTACCTTGTCATGTATGCTAGGCCAAACACATCCCCTCTCATCACCAATGTGCTGGGATCACATTTAAATGTGTCATCTGGTCAGTTCACCCCTCACTTCCATGAGTGAGCAATATCTGGTCATTTGCATATACGGTGAGCTAATTGACACCGTTACTGTTCCTAGATCACATATGCTGACCTGACATGTTTAGATGTACAAATTGATCTTTAAAGTGCATCTGTTTTACTTGCATCTCCAAATGATGCACTATTGGGCATTGATGGTAATGCTATGCAGTGAGGTGTCACTGGGATGGCAGAGCTATCAGAAGTCACATGAATGGCTCAGAAGCATATGTGCATTTATAATTGGGGCCTTTGCTCTGGGTGTGAATGTGCTGGCTGATTGAGTGAAATTGAACAGATATCTCATGTGAGGCTACTGATGCTGAATGGGCTTGCCAACTAGAAGATTGCATGAAAGGATTCAGAGAGACACACATGTGGGCAGAGGTGGAGTAATGTTTTGCACTTCTTCACTCTATGCTCAAGATTGAGTCAGAGCATCAAGTGAGCATAGAGAAAGTGCTACAGCATCCATGATTTGCTCATTCAGATGACACAGCAGGATAGTCCATGCAGTGTATGGACACTCCCTGTGTTTTGTCTATAGGATTGATGCCTAATATTGACCTTCCTCCTTCTCAAAAATGTATCTCATTTGCTGAAGTGAGACACTGCCATTTGAGCATCACATAGCTTCAAGGAGCAAATATTTCGATGCTCAAGTGCTTAGTTCAGAGTTGCTCTGAGACCATCATGCTATCATCAGCAACAAAATGTTAAAGTTCAGTGGTACATGAGGCCTTGAAGATTGAGAGATTCACCTGCACATGCAGCATAAGTTCACACTCATCTCTTCTGCTCAATCATTGTTTGGAGTGGTATTATCCTCATCCATGGTAAAATGAGTGATAAAGGCTGTTCAGACCTGTTCAGATGCTCAACAGTTGAGACTTTCAGGTATCACTGAGTCACCACTCTAAAGTGCACAATACCCTATTTGACCAGCCACTGGCTATGGCTTTGTGGACTACTTATTCATGTGTCATACAGAGCATATAGAAAGGCTTGTTTGCAGTACAGATGATAAAAGCATCAAGTTTTGATCTTCTGTGATATACTACAATCAGAATTCTACTGTGTAAAGGATGTGGGCCAACCACGAGAGCATTACTGTGGCTCAATTTTCAAATCACATTTGCACACACAAGTGCCTCTCTCAGAATTTCAAAAGCCCCTAGGTGGCACACTGGTGATGCAGGACTTTCACCTTGCACAACCTAATGGCAACTTGTGGACATTTACCCATCTGGACTTGTTATGCTCAACTCTGAAATTAAATGTGCATAGATTGGCATGTGCACACCACATTCATTTCTTAGATGAGTTCAAGTGACAATGAATAAGCTTGCAGGTTTCTCAATCATGGACAGTACACGTTATCAGCATTATATTTTCAATATAATCATAACACCTCTTGAATGGGCCCTCTGATGGAAGCAGTCAAAGTTGAAGCTGATAGTAAGACTGCACTGCTTCACAGAAGGATCACACAGTTATGTCTAAACCATATACTATATAATACTACTCAAATTCACTGTAGTGGATGACCAGGAATTTGCTTTTATAGACCCTTCTGGAGGCTTCCCAGCTTTTGTCTTTCAAAAGAATGCCACAAGAATAACACTTGACCCTGAAAACTCGAAAAGAGCTATGGAGCTGGATGTTTGTTAAGCAAATGTGTCATAGAGTGAACCCTTGTTTTATGAACCAGGTCTTATGGTGCAATATGCTGCTATGCCAAAAGGCCAATAATGCTAAGCTTAAGCTTAGCACTAGATCTGACTATATATGCAGTACATTCTGCAAAATTGACATGTGATTGATACAGTGACCCACAAAACTGTTGATAAGATTGCTCACTTCGACTTGTATAGTAAATATCTCCTCAACCAATGGGTCAACTACATTGTATAAGAATTCATTGGAAAGCATTTTATCATGGCTTTCTAATACAGTCTTTATCATATTTTTACCATATTTTGATCCCAAGATATTTACTAATCTTTGAGGGTCACTCTTATCAAGAGTTTTGTGGCACATATCCAGGTTCTACAAAACTTGTACTTTCAGTACTTGGTATAGCCTCCCTTTGCCTTCACCACTGCATGCACCCTCCTTGGCATACTTTCAATCAGATTCTGACACACTTCCTTCCCAATAGCCTCCCATTCCTTCTCCACCCTTTCCCACAACTCAGTAATTCCCTTTGGTGGCTCCTGATACTCTGCAAGCTTCCTTTTGAGATCACCCCACAGATGCTCTATGGGATTGAGATTTGGGGATTGAGAGGACCATATCATAGTGTTGAAATCATGGTCTTTGAACCAATCCTTGGCCTTTTTGCTGGTGTGCTTGGGGTCATTGTCTTGCTGAAACACCACATCCTCCACAGTTTTGCCCTAATCCTCCAGGCTATTCTGCAGCTCATCCTCCAGAATGCTGACATAAAGGTCTGCATCCATCCTGCCATCAATCTTGCAGACATACCCCACACCATCCCAGCCCATACAGCCCCACATCATCAAGGATCCACCTCCAAACTTCTGGGTCCCTTCCACCAACCTATCACTGAGGCTCTCCCCTGGCTTCTTCCACACCCATTTCCTTCCATCTGACCCCATCCTGTTAATCTTTGTCTCATCTGACCATACCACCCTTCTCCAGTCCTCCACAGTCCAATATTGGTGAGCCAAAGCAAAGTCCATCCTCTCCTTTTGATGCCTTGCAGCGAGTAAAGGCCTTCTGCACTTTACCACAGCCTTCATTCCTGCCTTATTCAACCCTCTTCACACTGTCTCTGCATTGACAACCCTCCCAGTAACATCTCCAAGAGCTCTGACCACAGCAGGAGATGTGGTAGCCTTGCCAGTCCCAATAAGTCGAGTAGCATAGCGAAGATTGGCAGTAGAAAGAAGGGAAGGTCATCCTCCTTTGGCCTTAGAAATGGTGAGACAGTGTGTGGAGCATAGTTTACTGATGGTAGAGTAGTGTAGACCAGTCAAAGCTTCAATTTCTCAAAGAGATTTGCCATTCTGAAGCAAAGCGATGACATGGTTGACAGTTTCAGTAGCAACAGCTTTTGGCATGATGTTGATTGAGTGTGAAAAGTTGTGTACAGCTGTTTGTACATTGTTCATGTTGAAACATGAACATCAATCAATAATCTCACAAAGAACCCTGTCAACACATCAAGAATCACAATTTTCTGAGAACTTGTGTGTGTGCCACAAAACTGTTGATAAGAGTGACCCTCAAAGATTAGTAAATATCTTGGGATCAAAATGTGATAAAAATATGACCAAACCTGCATTAGAAAGCCATGATAATATGCTTTCCAATGAATCCTTATACAATGTAGTTAACCCATTGGTTGAGGAGATATTCACTATACAAGTCGAAGTGAGCAATCTTATCAACAGTTTTGTGGGTCACTGTACTTTTAAACTGTGACAAAATGGCACAGTTCCTGCTTTACGAGAATGGCAAAGTTATCAATGACCATGCTATGATGAATGCCTCAGATAGTGTCCTGGGCACATATATTCTCAGGCAAGTCCCCCATTAGTTCAAAGCTGAGTATTTTCTGACTTTCAAGTTGCACCATCTAGAAGAAACCTTGCAATAGTGGATGCAGATATGCAGTGTACAATCATGAGGAACATAGCATTTGCTTTATTATATATTTCAGTTGGTCCATCCATGACATCCCCTCTTTGCCTTCAATCACCACCATCATCACAGGCAGCTACATGGTTGGAGATTTAGCCCCACCTGTACCCTCTTATAACCACCGATAGATCTTTGCATTTGTCAATGACCATCATGATCACCATTTCTCATCCTCACTGAGGTGCATTCTCACCACCTCCTCATGCTACACACCATGTAAAATGCACCAGCAAGCTTCTAGCAAATGATGAATGAGATTTTCACAAAAGAAATTGTTGAAGGATGGCTACTTTGCTACCTAGACAATATTCTCATTTTGGTTAAAAGTGAGAAGAAGCTCAAACACAAGCTTGAATGTGTCATCAAAAAGATGGTCAACAATGACCTCTACCTCAAGCTGAAAAATGCATATTCAAGATTACAGGAATGGTATTGCATCCAGGACAATTGCAGATGGATCCCAAAAAAGTCAATAGAATTCTCAAATGGAAATTCCTCACTACAGTTAAGGGAGTACGTGCCTTCCTAGAATTCACCAACTTTTATCGAAAGTTCATTCACAATTACTCCGAAATTGCTCACCCCCTCATTGATCTGACAAAGACCAAAGGAGGAAACTGATTTCATTGGGCAAGCAAAAAGCAGGCTACTTTTGACTACATCAAAGATAAATTTGACAAGCACCCACATCTTTCATCTGCCAGCTCACTACTATTGTCTTAACTACAGTTATTAGGCACTATCTCACAAATACAGCTAAGCTAGATAATAGTGTTTTGACAGTTTTCAATCAGAAATGCATATACAATCAAGTCTGACCTGACTTCTTGTGACAAATATTGCATTTGTGATCAGATCTGACCTATTTTCCAGCTCCAGACAGCTGGATCCGTCCCAATTCAATAATTTGTCCAAGTTCTTCACACATCAGACTTAGCTGAGCTTCTCCACCTTCCTCGGATTAGCATCTCACATGAAATCAGCTCTGCTCTGCCTCACTGCAATTAATAATGCATTTGTGATCAAGTTTGACAGTCACTCACCTGGAGCCTCTTTCAAAAACAGCATTTCACTTTCACACATCCCTATTTTCACATACAAAGTCCGATATTGGCTGCCTCTTCATTATTTGCTATCCTAGCAACTATTAGCCACACTGGCCCACTACCTCACACCTTTATACTACTTTGCATCAATTTCATTGTCATTGCTGGTGACATTAAGATCAACACAGCTCACAGCAAACTCTCACTAAAGTTATTTACACACAATGTGAGGACTGTGGTCGGGCTGCTACTACAATCCTGCACTATATACCTTCAATTCACCTTCTTCCAATTGCGACTTATTTCTAATTTTGTTTTCAATTTTATTTATCTTACCCAATTTGTTTTTGTTTATCTTCAAACTTAGTCAGGTCAGATAAAAGACCTCCTAAATAGAAGTTTTTGAGGAATTCTTCCCTTCCTCCCTTTGTGGTAGCTAGAGCTGAATTAAACTGTCCCTCTCTGTGCACTGTGCAAGCATGATACCTCTGCATTTCTGGCCAGATCAAGTCTGCATAGACCTCTCAGAATCATATCTGGGAGCCATCTCTGGGTCTTCTCCCAGAGCAAGTTCTCTGCTTCTGCCTCACTTTCTGAAGCACATTCTCTGCTTTCTGCCATACTTCTTAGCTTTCTAAAGGACCACTTTGACTAGGCAACAAACTGTTACCCCTCAAATGAACATATCACACCCTGGCATCAACTGTAAGGGCATAGACAAGCTCACCACTGCCACCACCACTTGGGACTAGCAAGCCACCTGGGAGATGCTGGTGGACCAAAATATATCTATGCTCAACTGTAGCTAGAGTCTTGGTCTTTCTTTTACTTTGCGCTGTACTCGCTCTTATCAATACATGACTTGATTCAGTTTACATCACGTGCGTAAGACCAACCTTATACATTTTTAAACCCTCGCCATCATTTTTCTCAAAGCAACGAAGTCTGTATTGGCCAGACACAATCTGAAAAAAAAACCCCTTGATAAAACTTTCAATTTTCTCAATGTTGAGACATACTGTGACAACGAGAACAACCTCTGCACCGCCCTCACGCTGGAGTCATATAAACTTAAGAGTGTCGACTCACTCATCCAGCAGGCATGGCACAGCTGGCCATGCATCGGTTGAGGATGAATTGGAGGTCACCATTCAGGAGCCTCTCAGCAATCTGATGGAGACTCTGGTTCAGGTAGAACCACAGCATCAGGACTTCTCAAGCTCACCATGTCCTGAAAATTGCCCATCATTGAGTGAACATGATGACGTGGCTGGACCAGTGAATGAAAATGTCGAAAACGTACCTCATGAGACTGAGGGTGATGTCGAACCTCAGTCTGAACCACAGGGGACTGGAGACCCACTGCCATCCGAGCCATGAACGGAAGAGCAGCATCAGCTGTCAACTCTCAAGAAATATACTCAAGAGGTTCATGGACATTTGATGGTACTTCAAAGGGACATCATGCATACAGAGAAGTACATGATGAAAGTGGAGTCTTACCTGTCCTGAGCCAAACATGACTTTGAGACTGCGAATAAGAACTATGAGTCACTGCACTCACATGTGAGGATACTCACTGAGCACTTCGATGAGTTCATTGCTCACTTCTGACATGGTCTTCCAATGGCTGACCTGCCACAAACAAAACCATCAGAGATACCTCATCAGTGACAGAGACCATTGCTGAACTTCGATGATGAACTTTATGCTGGTGACCCACCAGCGGTGCCCACCAGAGAGTCAGAGAATGCTGATGGCCATTCAGGCCATGATGCACCCCCACACATGCATGATGAGGGTCTTGAGGCTCAGGACCAGGCCGCTCCACAACAAGTCGGAGATGGGTTTCTGAGATGAGCCCTAAATCTGGAAGCTGATCACCTGTGAGAGCAAGTGCAGCAGCACTACGAGGCTCACCAGAATAGAAATGCACAGCGTGGCAGGGATAAAGTGGGCGCGAGTGGGCCACCCCCTTCAGGTGACTTTTCATCGGATGATGAGGACGCTGACCACTGAGGTCAGCCTCAAGATAATCGCAGACCAGGAGGTGGCAACCATGGTGGAAACCCTGAACCTGGCAGGCATGGAGGCCATGGAGGCCAGGGTCCTCAACAACCTGGTCAAGGAGGTCAAGGCGGAGGACCTGGTGGAGGTACTGATCCAAGTGATGATGGATCTGGCAGTCAGGATAGTGATGGTGACTCACAATCACTTGCAGACCCACAGAATGGCTTTCACCAGCGAATGCATAGCCCGTCCTATTTTTCTAAGTGTGAGGCAGTAGTGGATGCCTGACATCATGCAGGTCGAGAGCACTTGCCTGATAATCGTTACTTGGAGGATGGACTTCGAATGATATGGACCCTTGTTCATTCGAAGCTGGGGACCACGCTGCCTGAAAATACTGTTCTAAAGAACATTAAAGACTTACCAAAATCTGATAAATATGGTGGTGAGGACAACCGTGAGGTGTTTGACTCATGGCTGAAGTCCCTATTTCGATGGATGCGCCTTGCTTGACTAGGAGGCCCGAATCTTGATAAGGAACGTCTTCAGATTCTTGGGCAATACCTAAAGGGCACTGCGTCAGGATGGTATAATGACACTATTGATGACGTTGATGTGGATGCTCAACTGTGGTCATTCGTCGAAGCACTTTGTGTGCTGTTCAGGCAGTTTCTACATTTTGCTTCTACCATTAGCACTGCCGATCATTTCGAAGCAGTCACATACTCGAAGCAAGGAGGAGTGGCTCACCTATGAGCAATTGCTTCCTCTGATGCCCCATGCTGCTTCCTCAGTGGCTCGGTGAGGAAGGGGAAGGAGTGTGGAACCACCCCAACATTCATATCAAGTACATTCACTGACACCACCTCATCGCATACATACTATGGAGCCGACGTATCGCCAAGGGCTGCTGAGACAGTCTATGACATGGTCTAAATCACAAGATAGGGAACATGATATGGGACTGACCAGTACCTGTCAATTCTCTATGCCTTTGAGCATACAAGCCCCCACATCAAAGGCAGAGGCCCAGCAATTCTTAGTAGGCATGATGATGCCAACTATGGATGGAGCAAAGGCTGCAGAGGTCATATCCTCATGGTTCCAGGTCACACTATAGCAAAAGTGTCAGGGCAATCGGGACTGTCAGATGCACAAAGCTTCATTCTCCATGAAGTGAAGCAATCGGAGTAGCTGAAGAAGAAGCCAGGCTTGAAGATTGAGGCATGCAAGCTGGTTGACCCATGCCTCAAGTGGGATGGCACAGTGGATGACCTGCAAAACCTGTGCTTGCGACGCCTGAACTGGTGGCTCAGGAGAGTGCATCACAATCCGGATTCAGGTGCCCTGGTAGAGGAGGACCTATGTGTGTACTATGCCATCAATCAGATCGCCACGCTGATGCCTGCACATTATAATTTCTCCCAGACAATCTCGAACATTGTGGCGGACTTACTGTGTGACACGAATAACTTTGCACATCATATCAATGCAGCAGGCGTAGACCTTGCCAGCTGCCCAACTGTTGTTAACCTGGTGCCATTTGGCCTAGAAATGCCACCCCTAGAGGCCAAAGATAATGTGCGCAGTTCGTTAACACTGACTCCGCAGGATATGGCATGTCACCTTTTCACTTGCAGCATTATTCCAGATGGCCTGACCTCATATTTCATGGGCTGGGCAATTCAATACTTCCACGAGCTGAGAAAACTGAAGCAGGGCTATCCTGATTATATGAAGGGCAGAGCCTTCAAGGGCCACAACCTTGACTCGAGTTCTCGCAATATGCCTGACCTGTCACATGCACCCATCTTGGCAGATTCCCCAGAACTGCTCGATGAGGAGATGCTCGACATGTGTCACTGACCAGCATTCGTTGGCATTAAAAATGCAGGGAGCTTGCTAATGGCACTGACCCCGTCGAAGGCCTGTCAACATCTGCAGCCATGCTGGTGTGTGCATGAACTCAAAGAGCACTTGTGCTTGGTGATGTGTTGATCCACTCTAATTAACCTCTCAACTCACCTTTATATCTGTTTCATTTGACTCGTTCTGGCTGGTTCATATGCCAGTTGGATCGCTCTCACTGGCTCCTGTATCATGTTTCAATGCTCAATGGATTGTCTCCACGTCCACTTCCTTTGAACCCAGTGACTCACTCTGGAAGGGGAAAGTGTAAGGGCATAGATGAGCTCACCACCGCCACCACCACTTGGGACTAGCAAGCCACCTGAGAGATGCTGGTAGACCAAAATATATCTATGCTCAATCATAGCTAGAGTCTTGGTCTTTCTTTTACTTTGTGCTATACTCACTCTTGTCAATACATGACTCAATTTGGTTTACATCGCATGCATAAGACCAACCTTACATCAGCCCTAGTAATGATCACACATTGTGCTGGGAATGTTAATCTGATTGCCTCTCTGATCTGATGTGAAAATGCTCACCTTATTCTCACTGCATGATCCTTGTTGCCCTTTCTTTGCACCATCTGACCTATGCCTGTGAGGTACACCTCTCCACCAATCCTTTTTCAAACACTGCTATCATAAGTTGAGACATGGTTCTGTCATTCGACATAAGCTTGCCCTGTTTCACCTGCCAAGCATGAGAATACAAAAGTGCAGGTGCAAGGCATATCCTGTCAAGGTCATCCATGTTGAGGATGGAAATGCACATCAAAGTGACTCCAGGAATTTGAGAAGAATGCATAAATGTTTGAGAAATGTAGTGACACCATCCTTACTGCACGCATCGGCAGCAATTCCCAGTCATCGACAAACTGTAGTCTGGTCCTTTCAGCTATACTGGACCTCCATTACCATAAGGAATCATGGAATGTCATTTGGCATATGCTTCTTGTTGAGGCACTTTTTCAAGCTCGCTAGAAATGTGTTCCAGGTTATGTGCCCTAGAACAACAAAAAACCTCAAGTTTACCAGTGTTGCTGCAGCCAAAATGGTAGAAAAATGGTGTGTAATGGTTGAGATGAGCAGCTTTTCAGCAAAAATGCATATGCTGTGTAAGTGCCACAATCTCGTGCTTATACACCACTGTTTGACAATATCATAAGTAGGCATGCAGTCAATGGCCATGGCCATCATGGGCATCATGACATACTATCACTGATCTCATTCCCTTCCTTCTCCTTATCTGCAACATCTTCAGCTGTAGAACTTCCAGTGATGTGTTGTTGAGGTGGATGAAAAGGCCAATTTATGTAGGCATAGAGGCAGTGGCTGTGCAGTTCATACTTTACACTTTTTGGCATGGCTGGAGATAAATAGATGAAAGCAAAAGTGCAACACACACACAGACACATCATGTCATGGGAGATCAATGGAGGGATGATATACAGCTTTATCAATATTGCTGTTTGATTGGCACTGCAATGTCCAATAGCATAACCATTACCATTGTCATCACATACCATTACACTCTTGCTCTCTTCAGCCAATGCCTTTATGCTGAGCATCGTGTCCATCCTGCCCAATTAATTGTACCCATCACCATCACCACAGTACATTATATATCAGCAGAATGTACACCTGATGTTCTTGTTCCTTGAAGTCATCAGATATGATGTCAGTTCCTGGTAAGAGTGCTAGATGGTAGAACTCATCTGGGGTCTTGCTTCGAGGTCAGCAGATAATACCAACTGTTGGAATGCACAGCAGTGTGCAGCTTACATGGTAGAGTTAGTGACTGATGGTATGTCAAGTGAAGAGATTACACTGCTATCATGCAGGTGGATGCTGAACGATCAGACACACTGAGTGTGGGGCACTACAGGCATTGTTAGCAGACTTATCTCAATGTCACGAAGACCCAATATCAGGTGAAGTTCAATGTCTTACTTGCTCATGTTGGATAAGATAGAGTGATGGAGGTTGCAGACTATAAGAGGCTTACTGGACTTATGGGGAAGTTGCAGTAGGCAGTCAAGTATATCGAGTATTGATGAAGGTAAATAAGTCTGAGGGTGTAAACCCAGATGGCCTTAGTATATATACAAGCAAGGTCAGACCCCCTGATACACTGTTTACCAGGCCCATGGACACATCTACAGTGGATCCATGTGAACAGTAACTCAGCACACATTCTAGAGATAGATGAAGCTCAGTGTTACCTGAGAGCTATCTTGAGATAAGCCAATAGTATTAATCTACGAAGTCATACGATGCTGTCGTGGGACCTTGCCAAGTGGCTACAGGGTCAACCAGCTATGTATATCTGCTGACTATGACTATGCTAACTATGAGACTACCTTCTCAGGTAGTGGAGATCCATCTCTTATGGTACTGTAGGAGCTTATCCTATTGGAGGATAAGCAACCAGACCTTGAGTCTTTGGATATGACATCTTATCTGTTAGGCAGAATAGTTAGTACCTGCAATATGTGCACTTAAGATATGCATGTGAGTGGTCTTGTGACCATAACTGAGTGCTTAGAAAATGTGAAATATTACAGTTTGTGATATAATCGACTATGTAAAGGCATACATGAAAGTCGGCGATCATGGTTCTACCCATCGTTTATTGGTCACAGACATCAGAAAACTAAACCTGATCATTGGAATGTCATATCTTTATCAGCCTAATCCAGAAATCAACTGACAAGCTGGAGAATAAAAATACTCACGATGCTCGAGTACGTGTCACCACCAGAGGCTTCATAAAAAAACAAGCCATTGTAAGAGAGAAAGCTGAAGAAATCTCACAATGAGCACAATGAATGGTTAATGAGGAACCAACTGCATACCAAATGTTTCAAGGACAAAACAGCAATGCAGTAAATCCTATCATTTTATGGGTTGAAATGGATGATCCTGAAGCCAAACAAATAGCACGCATGATCCTAGAAATAGCAGATTGTGGCTATAATGAACCTGAGAAAAACCTGAATGATACTGAAGCAGTACACCAGTCAAACACTGGCAACTCCAGATTACAGGTTATTAACGAAGTAGAATCTTAGAAAAGGTTAGTACCAGATTATCTACATTCATACAGTGATGTCTCTCCAAAAAGGCATCAGGAAGGATGCCTACTCAAAAGCCATATGATTATGCTATCAAGTTTGAAGAAGAATATGAGTTATCATGATCAAGCAAATTATGTCCTATGAATCCTAAAGAATGGAACTCTTTGAATTCTTGGATCGACGAAAACCTAGCCAAAGGCTATATTCGCAAGTCAAAATCACCTATTGCAGCGCCCATATTCTTTGTTAAGAAAAAATATGGTACATTAAGACTGGTGCAAGATTATTGCAACATTAATGCATTAACTAAGAAAAACTGCTTCTCTATCCCATGAATAAGTGAATTAATTGATCAGCTCAGTAATGCCTCAATTTTTGCAAAGTTGGATCTCTGTTGGAGATATAACAATGTTCACATCTGAAAGGGTGATGAACAAAAAACAGCATTCACTACACATCAGGGATTATTTGAAGCAACAGTTATGTTTTTGCAATGCACCAGCCAGCTTTCAACATATGATGAATGAGATTCTAGAAGATCTTATTTGGGAAGGGCATGTAATCATCTACCTCAACGACATTCTAATTCTCACTAAAGGACTAAAGCAACATCGGAAGATTACAAAAGAGGTGCTTGAACGACTACAGGACAACGACCTTTTTGCCAAACCTGAAAAGTGCTTTTTCGAACAACCACAAGCCTTCACTGTCAGAGGGTCATGAAGAAGTATCTGAATACTGTTGGACTCAAACAGGATTTGAAGAATTACCAGATTATTGCCTTCATTGCAATATCTGTATGCAGTTTGTGAACAAAGATGTAATATTTCAGCAAAATGGACTTTCATGACATCAGGTTTCAAGCACAAATACCAAGTTACTTTTCAGGCAAGCAATCGAGAATGAGAGGCAGGCACATCTGCAAGCACATCAAGAACATCGAGCTGCACACTTGAACTCTCTGGATGGCAGCGATGGACATTTTCTTCCTGATCAGGTTACTGAGAGACTGGAAGGCTCAGATCCTCTGATGAGTGTCTTTGAATTCGATGGGCACATGTATGATGCATTGGGTGAAGAGATGTTATTCTCAGTGGGCGAGGATGTGGAGAGTGAGCATTCTTGTCTATTACGTGAGATTCAAAGATCATAGCTTTTTCATGATGCGACTAATTTGCATGATGACTTGCTCAAGCCAGATGAAGAAAATGATGATGTTCTTGGCATGGATGCAGCCACAGAATTTGATGCAATGGGTACGCCTCTGCATTTATCAAATGAGAAGCAGATATCTGAGCTGAAACATCTCACAGGTTTATCAGATGAAGAAGATGTTGATGACAGTGATGAAGAAGATGTACATGATGAATCTGAGGTGTCACCAATGGACCCATGATATCCACATAGATCTAAAGTGGTACGGAAGTGGTGCCTTTCATCGTCAATGATCAGAACATTTTCTTACCAATTTCGCAGATGTTCCTTCTTGACATGTTAGACAATATGCCACATCTGCGTGTCTCTGCAGACCATCTCAAATTCATAATGTGGACATTAAAGGAGCTTGGCATCATCGGCATACCATCTCTGAAGAAGTTCTGACACATGCAGGACAACCTTACTAAGCTGGCTAGAACTCACACGATCATGAAACAATTCCCTGTCAAAAACATTTTCTATCAAAATGATATCGTGCACATGCTCAATCAGGATTGGAAAAATCCTCGGGTGTGACCATATATTGAGGAGTATCCGATCTGAACAATCCAAATCAGTGAATTATGTCACATGATTAAATGGACCCATCATCTCTCACCAGAGCTGCAAGCTTTCATGTGGGCTCATGGGAACAAGCACTACTTCATCAGTGAATTAGCTCAATTGCAAGATGGCCATCTGATCATGTCAACAGCATGGTTTCATCATCAGTCACATGGTGAAGTTTTTGACGAAGCATATCTCATAACTTCTGCTAACTGCGATGCATCTACGGCAATCATCTATTGACCTCAAGTCCATCTTGCAAAGATTGAATTTGCCATGTCCAACCTGCAACACAATATCAATGATCTGGTGAGCATGGACATCACATTGAACACTGCAGGTTTGTCGAGTCCTTGTCATTCTCATATAGCAGCACATTGTGAAAACTCATATTGAAATCCAGGCTCACTTCCACATGATGTGCATGTATCATGCAGTGAGGTCACCAAAGGTCAGCACATATACACCAGCTTTATCAAGGCCTGGGGTGATGATGTATCTGGGAATCAGAGTAAGCAATACAATGAACATACAAATATTTACTTTGCACATGCAAATGTGCCACACGAGAAGCTCGCACAGGAATATTTCATTAACTTCACATCCACATCTCAACACACTAGTGCAATCAAACAGTTTGATGCTATGATGACAGACACAGTGTAAGTTTCATGCACATTAAGCTGCATTTCAAAAGAATGTGTACTTACAAAGTGGCGCAGTTATTCTAAGCTGGTGTGGCACGTCACATATGACTGTATCAACCAAGAAGAGATTTTATTTCACATGGAGCTGATCATTTTCCCTGCAGATAACCCACAACAGTCATAGCTGTGTTCTCACATTGGTCTGCATGGAAATTTCTGATGTCATAAATGCCAAATCGGGGAAACAGAGGTTGAGTGTAAAATGGACAACATGTATCATCAGCACTTTTCAGTGAGTTTGCATCATGTTTGCATCATATAATAACATCCAGATGAGCTTACCATATCAACCATATACATCCATCAATGCCTCGGACATCCAATCAAACAAGACAGGCTGTGATCAAACAGATTGAGGTGGCTGGATTGGGTGTAGCCAAAACTGTACTGATTTGCAGACACAGTCTGGAGTCAAGGATAAGCTTGCTGAACACTGGATTGTAAAATTACTAAGATGTGCAGCTGAGCAGCCACAAATCTGGATACATAACTGACATATATGTGATCCTAGATTGAATGAGCGGAACCTTTTACATTGTCCACTTGTTGTTTCAAGAATCAAAGAAGAGATTCAAGATGAGCTATTGTAATAGGTAAAGACAGAGCCACATGAGCATTATAATGCATTGCCAGCTAATTCCTGTAAGTCTTTCACCAATGACTTAGAGTAAACCACATGAGCTAATGGGCTACACTGACTCTAGCACTGTGTTGTCAGTACTGTGCTGGTAAACACTACAACATGCAGTTGGAGCTTGAAGATGCATATTCATAACATCGTACTCATTTGTTAGATGCTAAAGTGCTACTGATAGCTGGTGACATTCACCAAGATACTCCCATTGAGGTTCTTCACACATATTTATTAGGAGCTGATAAGTATGCATGGCATTACCTGCACACCACATGGACTCCGAAGCAATGTGAAGCATTCACCATCAAGCTTCAATCTTTATTCATTGATGGCCTCACAATCTCCCCACTGCACTCCTCGTATATCATGCAATCCTGCAATGACCTGATTGGCAAGCATTTAAAAGCACTGCAGCAGCTCATGATATTTCATCTCGATGAGTCGCTATGTTCACCATTGAGGTTTGATTTGTAGAGGGCCACTGGCAAGCTTGGAGCCCTGCTATGGGTGCCTGAAATTGATAATATGGACAAATGTTTGGTATGTTGTTCCCTTTGTGACACATTTCACTCCAGGAATAACTATAAATGTTGAACAGAGTGACGTCCAGATTCTTGTGAGCAACGTGCTTGATATTTGATCACTGATTGATCCCAAGCAGATCTTTGTAAAGCCCAAGCTTCACATATTGTCTCACCTTACTGAGGACATCTGCCGACATGGTTCGCTGATCCTTTATGCAACTGAAATTTTTGAATGCTTCAATGCCATTTTCTGGATGTGCAGTGTTCTCTCAAATCATTAGGCACTGAGTCGTGACATTGTGTGGACGTTCGCTGACCTGGCACATTTCAAACATCAAGTGAGCAGTAGATGGTGGCAAAGCTGAAACTGTGATGGTGAATATGTGCAAGCTGATAGCAGTATACGAAAATACTTTGACAACATTGAGGTGAGACATTGTCTTAGATATGTCAATTACATACATACAGCTAAAACCAGGTGAGCACTTTAGCATTGTATTTGATGTCACATTTGTACCCTGACTCATATGTTGAAGGAATGGTACATTGCAAGGCCAAATCGCAGGCAGTAACATATTTGTGGCAAGATCTGCAGTTTCAGCATCTGAAGATAGCATTCATGTATCTTCGGCTGCTGGATGGTACAAAGGTCACTCAGTGATATCAAAATATGGTGATTACTGCCTGGTTGAGTCATGCATTGCTGCTGAGTTAGCCGTGAGTGGCGTAGGTTCCTCATATTACCACAATACATTGGATTAATTGTGTTTCTGCAGAATCGAACCATCATTGATCAAATTGTAGCAATATTGGCCCCAGCGGCAGCTCACTTATCAGAGAAAGTTCAATCACTGATTGTACTCGAGCAGTGACAACCATGCACACTTTAACATGCCCAAGCTACTGAAACCAAATGATAATGAAGCCCCTCACTGAGTGATGTACCATTCTGTGAGCCTATTTTAATGTCATACATTCTGCTAATGATTTGAGCCTTATGTGATCAGAACATCCTGTTTATCGTCGATGTTCAGCATAATTGCTTTGACAAAAAGTGCAAAGCTTCAGGTCAATGTGCAATCAGGCAAGAACACACAGAGACCATGCTTGCACAAGCATTCATTGAGAACACTGATGACACACACTTCCTTCTCAACTTGCATACACTGCATAATGCAGTGCTTCTTCGCAAAATTCTCCCTCACAGCCTGACCAAGCTAATTTCTTACCTGCAAGACAGAATAGCTGAACATAAGAAGATGGCAGCAGCTCTTTGTGAAGTTCAGGATGCAAAGCATGTCAAGGAAGTGGCAGCTCAGAAGGAACGTGCTGAGGTGAGGACAGCAGCAAAGGTGGTGAATGCATCTGATATGATGCTAATAGCAGAGGGAAATGTCAGCACAAACTTGGACACTGTAATGGGAGTCTGATGTCACTCGGATGAGCAGTGAATGATATGAGATGTATTATCTGCCACTTTTTTAATAATTTATTATGCTATATACACAATTTCAGCATTTACACTGCAGTGCATGAAGCGCCCACACTGAGCGAATTGTAGGGCAATTTCTGTCGAATGAAATGACCTAAAAATTGTGATGCTCTTTTATGAGGCATTTTTTCATGGCAAACAACTGTTATAAGGTGCAATGCCTATTGCATGAACTCCCGTGTCAACTGAAACTTAAGCACTTACACTACTTGCATCAAGCGCTGACATCATCCATTGATGTACATAATATCAGACCTACCAACTTATGGGTGTGATGATAGGCTGGATGGGCCATCTGGTCTCGTGGTGGCTAAGGCATGAAAGCCAGCTGGCACAGACCACATGGGTTCACACTAGGAATGAAGTGACCCCAGCTGGTCAAGCCACATGGCTCTCGGCCAACATGTCTATGTGAGGAACCTGTGGCATGGGATTGGTGATGTAGTTGCATGAAGGTGCATGTCATAGTTTGACATTGTTTGCACAATCTTTTTAACTGCTCTCAATTTCATTGCTGCAAAAGCAAAACATGTCATTTCTTATCTTTCGAGGCTCTGTGGCCTCAAAACATCATGCTTATAGTCCGAAAAATTTGTTATCTTCTCTAATGCCCATAGAACACTGAGTTTGAAGCTGAGTTTGAATATAATGACACGGCTGATTCAAACAGGTGCAAATATTCAGAGCCAATCACAGCACTGAATTTGCTAGAGTTAATGCCTTCAGGGCTGATGGCTTCAAAGCCATACAAACCATTGTATTCAATGGCTTGAAAGTGATTCGAACCAAGGCATTCAATGGCTTGAAAGTGGTTCAAACCACAGTAATCATTATTTTGTTATGTATCTCAGCATAGTGACACAAATAATGACTAATTTAACATTTTTCGGACTCATTATAGTCTCTACTTGAGAAATAAGCAATAGTTCCCCACATTCCACTGCTCTTCACTTCCATTCCATCATCCTGAGCATATAAAAACAAGAGCTATTGATGCTATTGAAGTTTTCCATCACCACAGTATATTTATCCATATTTTAACTTTTTTTCAACTTTTGAACATATCAATAATACATGATAAATTGCACATTGATGCTTCGCAATCAGAACTGCATGAAGGCCATTTTTCGGCTCAAAAAAGCGAAGATATGAGGTCACAAAATGGATGAAGATGTCAGCCACTCAAATTCTCATGCTTTAAAATGCCACAATGCGTAAATAACACCAAATTATGACGTTCACACTGGCACATCTAGCTAGATGCGCCAGCATGCACGTCATAGTTTATTGTTGTTTGTAAACAATGGGAGTTGCACTTTTTTAAAATTAAAAGCACATAAAACTGCACAGACTGGAAATTGAACTTCAGACTTTCAGGACACTTACTTCCCAGATAGTATCAAGCATTCGAAACACTAGACCACCTGCTGTTTATCATTAACATAGCCATTAACACAGCCCAAATATACTATACAGTGATTAACAAAAGTGCACAAATATCTTCTTGATTTTCTTCTATCTTCAGATTGGCTGTAGCTATTTTCACAAATAAAATAGTATTAGAAAGCCATCTTCTCAGCTTTCAAATGAGTGTCTGTTGGTGGAATTTGTATGTCTTGTTCTGAAGATATATGCAACTCTATCAGGTTAACTCATTTATATACTTTTATCACCAACAAACTTCAAAACTCTAGTAGTTGAGTGTTCAACCCTTGTCTTTAAACACTGCCTTAACCCATTCATGCATGTTTTTGATCAAAATCTGATGCACAAACCTATCAATACTCTTTCATTTCTTTTTCAATTGCTTTTACAATTCTGTAATCTTTGAGTGGCTCCTCATGCCTTGCTAATCTTTTTGTGAGATAAGTTCAACAATAATCTGTGAAAAATAAGCTCTGATAATTGATCATGCCATATCATAGTCTTAATAGTATTCTCTTCAAGTCAGCTAAGTCATGCTTGAGATTATTATCTTGCTGAAACACCATCACATTCACTTTTGCTGCAATGCTTCAAGCCATTTTAAAGCTCATTTCTCCAAATGCTAACATAAGGTCAAATTCATCTTGCCATGAGTGGTACAGGTATATCTCATTTCTTTTCAAACTATACAGATCCACATTATCCGTGATTTTTTACCATCTTGATGATATAGCATATCTGAATACATTCAGCCAGACAAGTTCTACCCATTCTATGTTTGATGTTTCAAAGTATGAATTATATACTGCATCAGGGTTTGATCAAAAGCATACATACTGTATAACATACTCAATGAACATGTTGAATGTGATTATATCTATCTACAGCAGACTTTCAGCTAAAAGTCATGAATAATTGTAAGGGCTACAGAACCTGTAAAGTTGTCAGCCACCCAGGATGTGCAAATCAAGTTTGATATAATAAAAAGCTCTTTGGGGTCACTCTGAATATTGAAATGACAGATGCTGAGGTTGCTGTGAATATTGAAATGACAGATATCTTGCAGTCTGCCTATGTTCATGACATTCTGGGGGTGTATATTGAATGCTCAGGAAGGATATCAGAGTGCTTTAGGGACCTGAATGGTGGCCTCAACCAAGTTTCAGATAATGAAAGGCATTTCTGAGGCTATCCTGAATATTTTGATACAGCTCAAAATGGCAGATATCCTGAAGTATCACCAAGGTTCATGACAGCAGTTTCACCAACATTAGTGACATTCTTGGGGTGTAGATTTTATGCTCAGAAAGCATATCAGAGAGGCTTAGGGATATGATGATGGTCCCAACCAAGTTTCAGATAATGGAAAGCTCTTCTGAGGCCCCTTTAAAAATTTCAACACAGCTCAAATCATGTAGTACTGCCAAGGTTCATGACATTCTGGGGAGTGAAGATTGAATGCTCAGGAAGGGGATCAGAGGAGCTTAGGGATACGAATGGTGGCCCCAACCACATTTCAGATAATGGAAAGCTGTTCTGAGGTCCCTCTGGATATCTCGACACAGCTCAAATCATGCAGTACTGTCAAGGTTCATAACATTCTGGAGGTGTAGATTGAATGCTCAGAAAGGATATCAGACAGATTCAGGGACCTCAATGGTGGCCTCAACTAAGTTTCAGATAATGGAAAGCCCTCCTAAGGCCACTGTGCATATTTCAACACTATTTAAAGTGGCAGATGTCCTGCAGTTGTGCCAAGGTTCATGACATTTTGGGAGAGGGGATTGACCTCACCCATGTTAACATAATCTAAAGCTCTTCTACATATTACACATTGCAGACTCTGCAGCATTTTCCACTTCTGGAAAAGATGAAACAGATATCTACAGCTTATGTTTCAGTCTACATCTTTCAATGTTACCATTCAACTTCATTGTCAGGATTGTAATGTAGTCGTGAATGCAGAAGATGCTTTCATTCATTTATAGGACTGCAGTTTATCACTTTTAAGAAAGTCCTCTGTTAAGTTAGGTTCTTCAAAAAATGAAAAGCTTTCAGAATGGCTTCAAGCCCTTTTTCTTTTAAAAAGACTCACTTTGCATGCCAAAGCTGCAATAAAAGACTGGTCAGAAGATACGTATTTGCCAACATCCCTGACTTCTATGCATTTATAACAAATCAGAAGCAAAGTCAGCTAAATCCTGCTGTGTGCATTGAAGAACAAGGCATAAAATATCACTTGTGTGGTATGATTTATTTTAGTGAGTTTCATTTAGTGTTGTTCAAGGCTGGGCTTGAAAGCCCAAGCCAGATCAAGCTGAGCCTGTCTGAGCCATCAAAAGCTGAACCTGAGCCCTCTCTGAGCCTCTATGGAGGGAAAAGCCTGAGCCCACAGCTCTGAGCCCAGACTTTCAGCCACAATAGATGCTTAGGCACAGCAATATAGATGGTCCCTGCAAAAAAGACAGGGCATCACACACTGCTAGATGAGGAGGTCACACAATTAATTTCGGTCACTCTCGGTCCTCCCTTGTCACCTGTCACTGTTCAGCCTATGTTCTCGAGCCAACCTCACACATTGTCACCATTGCTGACACTCATATCTCAGAGGTGATCTCATGATGCTCATCACTCTGTGAGATTGTCTCATGTAGGGTGTACTTGACAAACTTGGAATGTGAGAAGGTTCATCCCCTGGCCTGCTTTGTACATCACAAATTATAATGTCGAAGCAAGATTCTCCATTTTGCAGATGTTCTGTTCAGTTTTTCGGTGAATAACAAAATATCCATGTGGTCCGCCCCTGTTTTTGTTGACTCACTCTCGACCATTTCTGGAAACAGTCATCACTTCACACTCTGACCATTTGCACTCATTTACACGTCACCTAACTTCAGTCTGGATGAGCTTCCTTCCAGGCTCAGGTACATCTCAATTCATCATATCTGATCACAGTAGATGAGCAAATTTTGTGATTCCATTGTAGATGATGAAATGACATCTAGAAAATGCCATCCAAGGTGCATCATCAAGCCAAGTGCAAGGATCAATGATATTGATAATGCAGAGCATAGCATGGTGGTTGGTGCATTCAGGCCAACGTCATTGACATCAGAGACAAGTGAAGGTGTGAGACTGAAATTATCAGTCACTGAGATTGACGACGACACAGCAAATTCAGACCTGGCACTGAAACATAAGAAGGATGCACAGAACACGATGGGTGATCAGTCAGAGGATGACAATGTGACAATCTCAAAGATGGCTGCCAGTGCACCATTATTTCACTCTACCATACAATGTACTAACCTTGCATTCTGATCAGTTGACCCAGAGTACATCCCGTTCAATGGACGAGGTGAAAAGGACAAGGATCAATTCGACGACCATGATGTTTTACTCGATATTCAGCATATTTCTGAGCCAGCAGAGAAAGTGAAGAGCAGCAATGACATGTCTGATGTGAATCACTTCTTCAGTGATCCATGGCAGAATGAGCACGGCAACCCATCCAAAAAGGCTATAAAACAGCATGTTTACAGTTGCCAAATTTGCAAGTATGTGTCATTCTTTTTCGTGCAACTGCAACTTCATCTCACCATGTCACAGGAAGAGAAATATCAATGACTTCACTATTGTAGCAGATGTGTCAACCCTTCGATGGCATCTGCAAGCAATGCATAAAGTAAGTGCTTTCTAATTCACAGTATATGATGCATTTTTGATGACATTTACTAGCACAAATACTATAAGTGGTGCGAGAAGAACACTTTCGACTCCAAGCTCACAAAGTGAAGATCCTCAAGAGTTATATCTCTCAAGAAACTCTCGAGGGACATGTTTGAGTCAGTCAGCCAGCTGGACACACGATTTTATATTCAGACAAAGCATTCAACTCTGCTGCTATCCAGTGACTGATAGAGACCAATCAGGTACATAATCTGTCTCTATAAATGTTTATTCATGATTTTATAAAGCCATTTATCAGCCTATCAGTGCATTTGAACATCAAGTGTTTGAAGATCTGATCAATATTGCTTCACGTGCTAAGGAAGCGGTGAAAATCCCAAAGCAAGCATCAACGTGGTGAGACATTATCAATCTGTTTCACCAGTTTCTACATGACCTGAAGAAACACTTACAGGTAATACTATCTGAGTTGTCATTAAGCTGATAGCTCTACTCTGATCATGCAATACAGGGCCTAACTGTGAGAGGAAAAGTGTTACTGACATGTGATGCTTGGCAAGCCAGAAATACCGACGGTTAATTTGTGGTGATGGTGCATTAGATACAAGAGGACTTACTAGATGACTGGTCACTCGAAGAAGCTCTAATCAGCTTCATGTGCATGAATCATTCACATCATGGCAACCACTTGGGATAAGCACTTTACAAGGTCACCAGCCACATTGGCATTGCGAAAAAAATATGTTATCAAGAACTTGATATCGGTGCAACAATATTAACAATAAACATACAGATTTTTGTGGTTACTTGTGACAACACGAGCTCAAACCTGACTATGATAATGGTGTTCGCTTCTATGGTATGCAATAATCATGGAGTTGACTTTAATGTTGAGGGTCGACATGTCGGGTAGGTGTTCACATGTGAGTTACATAAGTAAATATATTCTTACAAATGTTTGCTAGCTGCCTCATGCACATCATCAACCTTGTGACACAAGCTGTTATTAGATTCAAAGCAGATCTGCATATTATGACCCTGAACATCCAGATGTGCACTTATTGGATACCTCAGCTGTCATTCGTGATGAAGTAGGCTTGATTCATGCAATATCTGTCAAGGTAAGTGTAAAGTAGGTAAAGAAGTACTCATATTGATGAACGCGTGCAGGAGCACTCATTGAGCCAGCGCAAAGAGCAATTTCATGACATTCAAGCATCTGCCCACATTGAATTTAAGGACGTGAAGACCCTTGTAGTTGACATGAAGGTTCACTAGTCATCGACATATTTGATGCTCAATTGAGCATATAGCCTTCATGTAGTGAGTGCTCTGCAACATTGTTGTGTGCTGTACTGCTAAGTGATATTCTTAGCATGTCAACAAGTTTGTAATGGGGATCTCAAGAGTGGTCAAGGATATGAAGACATCTACTAGATTGTATAGCCTCCTGCTGAAAGAAGATGAGTAGAAGCACATTAAGGCCTTTCAGCACATTCTTCAGGTACATACATTTATCCCATTCATTAACTGTCCAACAGGATTTCATACAAATGGTCAGATTGCGGACTTTTGTCAACAGCACTTCTCTTCAGAGCATAATCCAGCACTGCACCTCACACTACCTGCCCTTGAAGACTTACATGCACGATAGACTGCAAAACTGCAGGATTTTGTATATGTGCACTTCACAAATGGGCTATCAGCTGGACTGGCCAAGATCAAAGCCTATTATAACAAGACGAGTGATAATGATGCATATGTCTTTTCCATTGGTATGTATATTATTAGTACAAGCACTTAGTCTGATTTCTGAATGTCATCATCAGTGCTTGATCCCATGGTGCATTTCAGATTCTTCAAGAAGAATTGATCAGCAGCTCTATAAAAAGATGCTATGGACCTGATAAAGAGGATTGTAAGTATGCTTGCCAACCATGTGGCTTCACACTGATCTGCTAACAGATTCATGCTTGTTCAGTACAAGGAACAATACTCTGAACTTAACAGTGGCACACAAAGTGCGGTAGCAGCCATTTCAAAGAAGAAGGTGCTACGCCGCTATACTTCTTTACTTGCTGATTAATCAAGTGATGATGACAATCAAGGCTGACAGTCTGCATCCTCAACTCGAGCCATCATCAATCTGAAGAAGCAATGAGAGCACAACTTTCAGAAATATGTTGGCCTCAATGAGGATATGCCTGAAGGAATGTCAACTGTTCAATGATAGGGAGTAAGTGTTCTATTCTATTGTTCTCCATACATCAATAACCTATGCAATTCTCTAGCTAAATGCCCATCACTTTCCAGCATGGGCTTCACTCACCAGAGATTACTTTGGCATCATGATGACCTCAGTATCAAGTGAGCGTGCATTCTCGAGTGCAGAAATCACTATCACAAAGCATCGAAACCACCTTAAAGGTGACATTGTGGAGGCTTTTCAGGTTCTCAAATGTGCGTATAGAAAGGATCTCCTTTACGTGATTTATAACCATCATCATCATTTGAAGAGAACCTGTATAGCTGTGAGGAGGGTGAAGGTGGTCAGAATTCTGCCAGTGGTAAAGCAGAGTTTGATATTGAGTTAGACACAGATTCTGAGGAGCTCGATGATGACTTGACAGGCAGTTCCACTTGGGTAAATGATGATTACATGTAAGAGAGCTATGTACATACATTGACAAATGAACTACAGACTGAAAAAAATATTACCCTGCAATAAGCTCAGGGCTTAGGCTGAGCCAAGCCCATGCTGAACCTGAGCCCCATAGAGGGCCCAGCTTGTGATTATGGCAAGCCTAAGCCTCCTAAAGCCAAGCCCAAGCCCAGCCCTGAAATCACTAGTTTCATTTCACTGCAAGGTTTGTTGTCATGAATGGTCAAACACAGTACAATGATGGAGTTGTTACAGGTAATACTCCAACATTAGAATACCCTGTGAAGATGATACACCCTACTCTCATCAACAAAGCACATGGTGGATTTAGCTCTGTAGCAATCTACACTAAACTCTGCTTAACTCAACCTTCAATAATGAAAACACAGTCTGCTACACACCATTGCCTTTAACTATGGCTTTTGTCATAAACCATTGTCACTTTAAATGCAGCTGCTTCTCAAACAATCATACCATCCTTGATCTCTGCCAAAGAGACTGATATTTCAATGTGAGTAACAATACGTAATTGTCAATCAATGTGGTGAATATCATGATAAACTTATAAAATACATTATGAAGAATATCAAAACCTCAGGAATCATTCCTGCCAGAAATGGCCCTTTTACCCAAGTAATACCAAGCTGTGACGAGAAGCCCTCCTCATGTGCACAATGACTGCTAGGTTTGGGTTGGGTGATTCCATCTGTGATTCTCACCATAAGCTGGCCCAGCTTCTAATGTGCATCATCTCAAATTGTCCAGACCTCATTCACAGAATCTTCTTCATCCTCATAAATTGTGATCATACAGATGCATTGAATATAGAGAGCAATAGACAGAGCCTAGGTGCAGTCTAGTGCCTGAGCAATTCTGATCACTTGAACACAGTCTGACTCATGGAAATCTACTGCATGATTTCCACAAAGCTTTGCAGCATTCACATTAGCCAGCAAACCATCCAGATTGTCTGAAAATGATGACAGAAAATGCTCCATCACTGTGGCTACACTGCCAAACCTGGTCCCAGTAGGTGCCACCTGGCCAGCCCATGTGTTCCATTCTCACCTCCCATGTGGCTACAGGTGGGCAACAACATGCTCCCATACCCAGTTGCCTATCAGCTCCAGCTAAGTCCATCATCATGTGAATCAGGCCTGATGTATTTCTGGCTTCCATCAATATTTAGTTTCATCTGTCAGCATGTGGCCCACCCTCTCTAGGCTTTTTGATTCATTCATTTCTCTGCTACTCACTTCTCACATATCATTATGCTCTCAGGCAACAATATATGTATAAATGTATGTGTTTGCATGTATGCTATGGCACAGTACAGAATACAAGCTTACAGTTCAAAGCCATGCTAAGTGCTTTCAATGACATGCTGCACAATAATGTGCTCTGTATTGAATCCTGTCAGTTAAATGAAGCAACCATGTGCATGAAACATACTGTAGAAGATGTACAAAATGGATCCCCTTCTGGAATATCTCCATCTAACCAGCAGAGAGCATTAGTAAGGATCTCGAGTTCACAGTAAGTCAATGTCGCACTTACCATGGCTGTAGCCCATTCCCCCCTTCCCTCCCTGGTGGTCCTGCAACAATGAGTCAGCATATCAGCCAGTCATGGTTTTATGTACAGAATCCCAGAGTCCTCCAAAATAATGACATGGCTTCAAGCCATGGAGCACATAGCTCAAGGACCATGCAAAAAAACAGTGAGTGTTCTTCCGTGCTCATATCCCCTATAACAATGAGGCATTTCATGCAGAGTAGATAACTCAGAGATTATGGTGCACATCAGTCAATGAGAGAATGGGAGAGTTGATGATGCAAGGAAACTTTTGTGTTCACATATGCATGTCACGTGACTGGCATTTGGACACTGTACTGCACTCACTGCCCTTTCATTGGTGACTTATACACCTTTTCTGATGCTTTTCTTCATGCTCACTCTCAGTGGGCTATGTCTCCATCATATGAGATGCACAGTTCAGGGTCCATTTTGATGGACTGTTCAGAATCTACCAGGAGGTGTTCTTGATGCAGCACTGTAGCAAAAACTGGTGATGTGATTGCCAGGTGAGATCTTTCAACATATCATCAATTGTTCAATCTTTACACCCCACAGCTACTATGGTACAGGAGGTGTACTTGAATTACAGGTTACTGAATCTCAATGGTTCGGCATTTTGATGCACCCAGACATTGAGGCTCTGCCATACTTGGAGGCTGATTCTGAGAAATCAGTTGGTAAGTGTTCAGCCTTATTGCAGCAGGCTTCTGATGCTCAAATATATGCTCAGTTGAGGCCCCTGAAGTCATTGTCACACAAGATGTCCAGATGAGTGAAACAATGAATGATGATACAAAGCTTGTGGCTTGTGTTCCTGTCTTGCAAGGCATTCAGACAGATGCACTGTCTGGTAAGTCATGCATGTTCACTGATTTCTAGCCAACTGAAGCCTACATTGACTTTAGAATGCATTTCACAGGCTTGTCACTCATGCCTTAAAAGACTTCAAGGCATGCTGCAGTGAGCCCTGCATGCAGCCATCCAGAGCGAGCAAAAGTGACAAAAGGCTTCGAATGCACTGAATGATCTCAAGGCATGCTTGTGGTCTGTCAGAATTGAGCTGTCTGCACCAAAACAGATTCAGACCATGGCAACTGAGCTGCATGTATTCAAGGCTGCTTTGCAAGATGCAGGCTTTGATCCTTATATGCCTGGCCAAGTCAAGGAAGCTGTCATTGAGTTACACATCAAGGAATCTCACATTGTGATGCAATATGCCAGCATCAATCTGTGGTCATTCTGCACCATCAAGTAACTGCTTGCTGATGTCAGAACATATCAGGAGATGCAAAAGAACACAGCTCAGATATTGAAAGAGCCATGCATTGAGAAGCAGTGCAGGACATGATAAAGGGAGCCTTTGATATGAAAATTGTATGTAATTACAGCATGATTTACTGTGACTCATCAATGTCATCAGATTCCTCTGTAATGTCTTCCACTCACCTGCTTTCTAGTGCTGCATCCAGTTCAGCCTGATATGCTGATGGTGTGGCATTCTAACATATTGCCATATCTGTGCTAGTGAATCACTCACGGTTGGTGTCAAGGATATGTTTAAGGTAGCTTGGTACTTCTGTCAGCCCATCATGAGATGCATACGATGTGTATGACTCACCCAAACACCTTGCTTCCCTTTCCTCCTGCCCTCTTTCAAATATTTACAAGAGTCTGGTCAACAGCAGATCAGTATTTTCCTTTAGAGGTTTCTAAGAAGGTCAGCCACTACTGGATGGATCAGCTTAATCCGAGCACTGGCAGTTCAGCCAAAGTTGAAGCACTCATCAACAAAGCTATGCGAGTGCAGATCTCTGGCATTACAATGACACTGGTGCCAGTAGGAATAGATTTCTTTCTTATCTGACACAACACTTTGCATAATTTGACAATGTTCTTGCCATTGTAGGTCTTCTCACCATTGGCATTGACAGAGTTGTTATCTTCAATAAAAATGTCCAGCTGTCATTGCAACTTAATCATAAATTGTACATCATATTTCTTAATGTGAAATGGATGTATCAATTTCTTTATCTCTGCTTTGCACTGTGTGAGATGGTCATGTGCATATGTGATGACCTTGTTCCACTTTTTGGTCTCATCATGGATACATGAATTTTTAAGGCCCCACCACTTGTGTTCTATGATTTCGAGTAGCAGTTTCAACATTGAAGTGCCATTTTAAGTGGAAACTCTGGGTGAGAGAAGCAAGCAGATGGCATATTTGTCAGTATTGGTCTATTGCAGACAGGCATTGTATTAGCAATTATTTTTGTGTGATAATGTGCAATAATCACTCACTTGGACATGACTCAGAATGTCCCATACTTTTGCGGTATCTGTCAGTGATTCATCCAAGTGTCCAACCATTTTGATCATTATTGCCATGCACATAATCTCATGCTCATCCTCACTTGCCTTGATGAAAGTGAATAATTAAGAACAAACACAAAAATCAGATGCATACATATATTGATGTATTTTTTGAGCTCGTGTTGGCCATTGATCTTCAGTCGCTCCACTGCAACTTGCGTGCAGAAGTACTGCATCTGATTATCACATTTGCTAGAGTTTATTGCTGATGCTGCAAGGCACAAGTTCCCTGTTGAGATTGCATCAGGCAGCAGAGGAAGATCAGTACTGAGCTCAGAGGATGATGACAATGCAAACAAGTCAGACTCAGGACTCAGAGCAGATTATGAGGCTTTGATAGGGGTATTATTGAGAATGGGACTGAGTATGAGAGAACTGGGGATATTTTCATTAAGGAGAGCCTGAAAAGTGATTTTGCATGCTCAGACTGCAGGTTCGGTGGTGGAGAAGATGCACAAAACTGTTATTTGCAGGTCAGCCATGGCTCGATCACAGACGGGAATTGCCAGCTGTTATCAATCTGTGTCAATGGCACCCACTTGCTGGACTCTCTCAGAAGGTGCATATATATCTATAATTCATGCAGACCTCTGTACTGAGTATTGACTGATGGCCTGAAGGCTTGGAAGTAGCAGATGAACTTGCAAAAACACTATAATGCCTTCCCTGCAAGAAGTATCACAGTACTGGCAGTCATAACAGGACTCTTCAGTGGAAAGGCCTGACATGCCACCTCATCTCCCAGCAGCACACCACAGTGATTAAGCTTGACAATGAGAAGCATACCTAACCTTACTTAATGCAGACATCACGATGAACACTGATCTGCTCTGAGCATAGAATTTTCATTTCAAAATACCCAATAGTTGATATCATGAAAAACTAATCACATCAACATGGGTGAACTACAGGGAATTTCAATAAAAGAGCAGCCACTAGAGATAATTGGGCCTGGCTTCAATGGCACTTTTCTCACACCTGCTCAATCATCAAGATACTTACACTGTAACATGAACTGACAGTTAGGATACTGAAGGAATCAATAGACCAGTGTGGGCAGACAGCTCTTCAGACAATTTATTATAAGAGAATTGCTTCCTGATAGGGAAGTGAGCACACAATGAGAGATCATTATTGATGCAAGATGTCAAAGCAACTTTCTGATTGAGGAGTGCGTGGGCAGGGAGAGACAATCCTTGGTGATATCATTTTGACTACATCAAGTAATATTTCATGTCACATATCCAATGTCATCCGCATTGAGGAAACTGATTAACAGATGACAGCAATCATTTCATAAATCATGGACAATTGATTAATTTAACAGACTGGTGGAACAATGAAGCACCATTCAGTCTATGGCACATTGATGCAATTCTTCTATGCCAGGGAAGAAAACTCACACTCATCTTGTCAATACTCATTTTCACCTAGCTCATCCTAACTGCATTGCAACCTAATGCCAACTCACTCTGTACCTACTTTAATAGGCCCCTACTGTGGCATTAGCTTTCAGATGGTGGAACAAGTTCAGTCTCATTGTGTGACTCACCAATATGCAGAAATTCTGAAGATGAACACATTTTGTAAGTAACAGTCTGATAATGTGATAACAAACCAACCTTTACTGCAAATGAGACCATTGACATCCACCAGGTGCACAACAAAGGCTATATGTGCCCAGTTGCGATATGCAGAGCCATTTTTATTCTAGGCCACTGCTTAAGCACTGCTGCGAGCATTTTTCTGGCATAGTAAGTGTATCATAGCAGACCTGGCGATAAAATATTTAATTTACCCTACAGTGAGGATAACATGAAAATCCGTGCAGGCAGTGATGAATCTGGTGTTGGAACAAAGGTGTCCAACTCACTGGGGAAGGAGTGCTATGGTCATAAGCATCGTTGGCAGGACAGTGAGCAAAACACACTGCAATGTCATTCGAACACTTATGATACCATTACGAAATAGATGATTCTATGTCACCTATGCCTAGCAAAACATTGATGGCATTACAACAGGCTAATCACTTTAAGACAATTCAGCATGGATTGGAGAGTGCAAGGGTGAAAACTGAAGAACTAATTCACCCATCATTGAGTGAGCACCTCAGGCAAATGTCAGCACATGAGGATGGCGAGCACAGTGTTCATCAATGTCATCAACACACTAATGATTGGTTAATCAAATAGGCATCTTGAATGCACCCATCCTTCCTACCCCTAGCCCATCATTGACTGTGTCTCAGTCCAGTAGTCTCTTCACAGTGGTCAAGAAAGCATTAGTGATGCCAAGGCAGGATGAAGAAGATTCTGATCCTGCCATGGAGATCAGATACTCATTTCAGCCATCATCTGACTGGGAGATGCTGGATTGCTACCTGATATCATGCATCAACGTTGATGAACATTTATCTGAGGTCACTCTGTTCATCAACATGTTGAAGGGCTCTTGTGTGATGTGTTTCATAACTGACAAAGACATGTCAGGCATGCCCACCCATAACAATGCACTATGCTATCTGTTTGCTAATCTATTCTGCAAGGAGGAATTTTGCACAGATATTGATGACAGACTGAGAGAGTGGCACTGTAATGCACCCAATGTGGATGTTCGAAGTACTGTGGAATAGAATATGAAACTATTGAAGGCAAAGGTTTAATTTGTTCTGATGAAGCAGTGCAAATGTGGTTTCTGGGAATCACGTTCATCATGTGGAAGATGGTGCATATTTGAGCCACAATCTTTACATACTTTGAACAGAACTGTGACTTTGTCTTCCATCACTCATTGGCTAGTGCCAAGGCATATGTGGGATGGCTGGTGCAGATGAGCAAGAAGGGGGGATCGACCAACATATAAAACATTTAGTAGATCTTGTGAGAGTATGTTATAAGCTCATAGAAGAGAACCAAAACAGTAAGCTACCATTTCTGTTTCACAATGAGAATGTGAGCCTGGTAAGCTTCCTTCACTAAAGTACTCACTTTTCATCTCATTTGATCAGCTGCATGCCTTCTTGTGCGAGAACCTCTTGCAGTGTAAGACCTTTTCCATCTGATTGTTTCTGAGGAATGGGTTTGCTGACAGATGCTGTGGAAGCTATCAAGTCTTTTTTCATGTCCAAAGCAAAGCCAGTAGGCAACCCCTGTGTGCCAGGTTGTGACATGTTTACATCTGCAGTTAAGGTATCAATTATGTTCTCTTTGATCGAACGGTCACAAAGCACAGTCAAGCTGCATTCTCAGATTTTCTTTGAGATGTGCTTGGCACCATCTGCCTTTTTCCTCTGTGCTTATCTCATCTCTCTTCTCCTCCATTTTCCATGCTGCTTTTGGTGGTAATCCTTCTTTATGCTCTCTCTAACATGCTTTTTGGAGGCTGCCTCAGTAAGGTGGTCAATGAAAGCTATAGGTCATTCATCATCGCACACCAGTGCCTCATCAGGATCTTGGTCTATTGCAGTTTTATGCTTACATTCTTCCTCTATTGCTTTCATAACCACAGCATCGAGATCAAATTATCATTTTACATAAATGAGATCACCTAACTCACATGACCATGGGGAAGATTCTGCCCCATACCAGGTCTTTCTGAAGGAGGGGTGCTCCATGCCCCCTGCTAGAATAATGACATGTCAGTGAATTATTGGAGGGCAGGAAACCAGCCTGCTTCACCATTATCCAGGTTCCAAATATTGGATCCATGCTTTAATGGTGGGGTTACAGGCAGGGTGACAGTAAATTACATACCTAGGAAGATATTGGATCTGAGACCCTTGTCTATCACATTCTCATCTTCTTGTAGTTGAAACCGTTGACTCATGATAATTTTTGGGCAAAAGTCAAGGGTTGTCGATTCAATGATGTAATCAATCAGAATTATCCACTTCAGATTCTCAGACCTTGACTATGGGCAGAGATAGATGATGTAGACAATCAAGTGCAAAAACCTTGTCCATATCCACTCCGTTCAGTATTATTAAAGAGATACAGTAAAGAGCAAAGGTGTTTCTAATTGTGCTCCATTCCGTATTACCAAATGAATACAGATTCTATCAGGATGGATGATGAGTGTTAGCAGCAAGATCAGTACATGCTAACTCTCCCACAGTCATATGTAGTCAACACGATCACATGCAAAATGGGGTTTGCATGGAAGATCAATTTCAAATGTGATCAGAGCACAGTTTGATTGAAGATCATGGGGTGTCTAACCCCTTCCTTCCTCTTAGCTTTCATCTCACACTCATCCATATCTCATCCTCTGTTGCTTTACACTTTGTCCTCACTCCTCTGTCACTGTACACGTCATCCTAAGCATCTCATCAGGTAATACTCTGATAAGTTGTGCATACATTAAGAAATGCTCCCCATCCACCTGGTCTGCAGCCATCTATCAAGTTTTACTTTAATTGATGGCCTGTATTTAGCTTATTTGCAGTGTCTATATGGCATTTTTCTATATCAAGAGCTGAGATGCTTTCTATTCTGCTATGCTCTCTGTGCCAGGATTCAGAATGCCTAAATCAATGAAAATGTCCAGATGTCCTTGGTACCTTGATGATGAGCCATGCTTTTAATCACTGTTATTGTGATGTTTACTGGTCGATAGATGTCCTATTCACAGTTGTCCTCATCCTCATATTTTAAAGCTGCAGAAAACACATGATTGTCACTATCACAATCAAAAGTATATGTTCCAGTGAAATAGTGCATTGTGTTGGTGCATTTGATTTGAAATTAATATTGAGCCAGAATGTAGACCAGGCAATCCAGGTTGCAAGAGACATACCAGAAAGATACCTTGTTCATGTGGTGAACCCAGCCATTCTCACTATTTCTATACCAAGATGTATGCCATTCTTCATACAGTAAACCACACTGAAGCTGTCACCAAACATGAGGATGAAGCATATGAAGGTTCTTCTGATGTGGAACAGGATGCAAGTCAGTTGCTAGATGATCAGCCAGATCAAGGGTCACTACCATGGGATATTCATTTGAATGCCAAAATGGAGCAAACCATTGAATCTGGTGATCATAATGCAGATACAGCCAAAGTCCTCGACACTCCTAATGTTCCTAATGAACATAACTCATACCTGATGTCTGACCCACATATAACCCACCCCCTCTGATGACCAAGCTGCTATAGATCTTTGCATGCATGATTGTATGCAGGTTGACATACCTACCCTACCCACCAATGCTGATGAATCTCCTGTCTTGGATTTTCAATCATTGCCTACAGTCGACGATGCCCTGTCTGACTGTATGATGAATGAGTTTGTATCTGAAGCAATCTGGCAAGAGCTTCTCAAGTGGTCTATCCAAGTGAATTGCAAGTATCACCTTGTGATCTGTATGGAGTGCCACAACATCATTCCATTGGAGTACATCCACTCTCATCATACTCACAAACATAAACTCTTATGCTATATTCCTGAAAGCAGTCACCTTTCTGACAAGGAATAGTTGATGAAAATGCTGGCCCAACTTGGTGTGCACCATCCAAAGAGTCCATTTTCTGGACCTATCCCAATCATGCAAGATGTTGAGATTGTCCATGCATGGTGATGCAAGATTTCAGGCTGTATGAGATGTAGTGTTTTTGAGAGCACAAAGTCGCATAATGCTCATTGCTATGAAGTACATCCTGGTGTCATGCACCATCACAGAGTGCAAGTTGATGCTCATTCTCTTGGCCTCAATAAAACCCACTGTGCATATGTAGAGATGCTTGCATCACCTCAAGTGGACTGCTCATCATTTCTGATAATTTTATTGAGCCGAAATGAGAGGAAAGAATTGAGTGACACCATCAAACCATACCAGGTTCAAGACATGTGACATGTAGGCCATGTGCTCAAGGTCACCCAAATGTACAAGTGTCTTCAGGATGTCAATCTCAAGGTGTTTCATGCCACTGTGGAGGCCTTTGATCCTTCTCTGGAAGGTGGATATTCTGTGTGGCAAGACCACATGAGGGAGTACTATCTCAACATTGCAGACCATTTTCTAGATCTTCAGATGCTTATGCTATAGCACATAGTGACCAGCAATCCTGGTCAGAAATTGAAGCCTCATCCATTCAGCCACTCCCAAGAGCATGACACTATCATAAGGGACTCCGATTTTATGACTCAATTTGTGACTTTTCTTCTGTGACATCATCAGCAGCCTTTACCAGACCTCCAACTCAAGTTTCATGCCATGCACTGACAATCGCTGGATGATCTTGTCCACATCATTGGGGTGTCATTCTTTAAAAGCTGATAGATGTCAATGTGTCACTGAGTGATTCTCTTCATCCTGACTTGTGGCAGTGATGAGTTTCTAAGAGCAGAGTGGAAAAACCTATTTTCTATCTTTCTGATCACATATCATCTTCGAGATGACCATGGAAACATGTATGCCACTGCAAGGATTACCCCAAATATATCCAAGGTGCAATGGTGCTTCAGGGTGATTGCCCTCAAGAAACTCTTTACCATAGTGTTCACCATGATAACAATGATGTCAAGTGAGCGATGTCATTTATCCGTTGATTCTTCAGCTTATTGTTTGTATAGAGCATACATTTCTGATGAGCAATAATATCTAACCAATGGTCCACAGACAACATTCACTCTGCTATGGCAAAAGATGGCTCTACTGTCCACCCTCACATACAATAAGCCTGGCCTACCTCCCTTCATGTGGGATGTAAACCATTTCATGCTGTCCATTGATAGAGTACCTGTCATGTTGCAGCAGTTCAAAGCTGATATTTTACAGGTTATCATTGAATGCCATGAGAGCATCCTTACCATTTGCAGCTCCTTGTATTTCTGGAGCCACATGGACTCCAAGATGGACCTGCTTAACAGAGAGAATTGTTTTTTTGACAATCCCTTTGAGAATGCACTTGGAACCTCAGTGCTTAGCAATCCATGCAATGGTATAACAAGGTTTAGAAATATTCTTCTTGAGAACATTTTGCATGACTCAACATATTGCAGTTGTGATCAGGCTTCTCAGTCATTACTAAAAAGAACATGCTCATTTTTGCAGTGGGTGTTGGTGCCAATGGCAGCTGGAATGTGAATACAAATGGAGTAATAGGCCCATCAGCTACTGCTAAAGAGAATGTGCTCATTTCTGTGGCAGGCATGGGTCCTAACAGCAACTGAAATATGCATGTAATTGGAGTGATAGGCCCATCAGCTGCTGCTAGAATGGATGTGCCATTGGGCATGGACCCTGACAGCAACTGGAATGTGAATATAATTGGAGCAATAGGCTCATCAGCTGCTGCTGAAGAGGATGTGCTCATTTCTGCAGTGGGTGTTGGTGCTGATGGCAGCTGAAATGTGAATACAAATGAAGTGATAGGCTCATCAGCTACTGCTAAAGAGGGTATGCTTATTTTTGCAGCAGGTGTGGGTCCCAATGGCAATTGGGATGTGAATATAAATGGAGTTATACACCCATAAGCTGCTGCTAGAATGGATGTGATGGTTTCTGTGGTGGGCATGAGTGTCAACGGTGGCTGAAATTCTCCATCCTGGGTCCCTGTTAAAATGAGCAATTTGATAAAAGTTAGGAAGCATATCATGTGCTTTTTATCCTGGGCTTCTACTGCTTCAATGAACATTGTAATTGTAATTCAAGTTATGAAAGTCATTGTCATGCTTTCAGACTAGGAAACCTCCTCTCTGAGTGTGTCCAGCTCCATGCTCACCTTGGCTGCCTGGCATTGATGATGATGCTCAACAAGATCATGTGGATAAGGTTGGTTTAATATCTGGAAGTAGCGGAGATTTCTACTCACCTTCCTTATTTGTTGTTCCATTTCATACTCAGCTCAGAGCACCTTGAGCCATGCAACTTGATCATTGGTCCTATTAAGTTCCTCATTAAGCTTGTCTTGCTGGTGCAGTACCTCATCATGATGGTTCATTAGCTTGTTGTGGTATCTGTGATATCCTCATTGTGATGGTTCCTTAGCTCCTTGTGGCATTCAGTGACCTCTTTGAAATTGGACTTGACAGCACTCAGTTGTTTGCGAAGATCATTTCGTTCCTCACAAAGCTCATCTTACTCATGCAGTACATCATCATGATGGTTTCCTTGCTTGTTATGATTCCTGAGGTACGAAGGAGAGTTTGTGCGACACTGGGCACTTAGAGCATCTATGTTACAGTGACCCACAAAACTGTTGATAAAATTGCTTACTTCAACTTGTATAGTAAATATCTCCTTAACCAATAGGTCAAATCTATTTTCAAGGGCTCATTTGAAAGGATATTATCATGGCTTTCTAATGCACTCTTGATTGTAATTTTATCAAATATTTGCAAGTAGCATACCTGGTGTGGGCTCCACACAGATATCAGAACAGCCTCTCCAGTCTTCTGATGGATCAAATACAGTTGAATTTCATATCTGTCATGAAATTGCTTTAAATGTGCTTCCGTTAGATATACACAATGTGCATAAATTGGGTCATCCTCCACTTTAAATTTGGAGTCAGAAAGAATGAATTCCTGCAATTGCTTGACAGCAGTTGCAGAAAAGATTGTCCATCATGCTTCATCACCCCATATCATGTAATTGATGGCATCTGTCATATCAATGTGCAACATAGTCAATCCCTGATGCTGTCCATTTTGCATTGATGAGAAGGCATTGTATATCTTTGGGCCTAAGTGCAGTGATGTGATCAGAGATGGTATTGCAGTGGGCAACTACATGATGCCCTACTAGGTCAGGAGCAATACCTTTCTCTGAAAAATGTGCAGCAGGATTCAATACCCCATTCAATCTGGTCAGGTGAGGCAGAGGAAGGCCTGCCTGGAATGCATTGAATAACTCTAGGAACTTGCGGGCAAAGCGCCACTGAGGAGGCCAATCCTATAACATAAATCAGAATCATACACAAAGATGAGAATATGATGCAATTCATGCCTTCAACTTCCAAATTGTATGTTGCTCTGTGTTCCTTTTCTGTCTGAACTGAGAGAAGAATTCCTCTACAGAAACTTTCTTGTGCTGAGCATTGTCTATGCAGTGCCGCAACTCTACATGAAGACCACCATAATGCTTTATGAAGTATTCAGGACTGTAGTAACCTTGTATTCTGTGAAATGCACCATTGAACACAATGGGAATACCTCATTTTCAGTAATGGTGGAAGTTGGCATAAAAGATGTCCTGCACAGATACAGACAAGGCATCTCACCATGAAAAATCTGTTAAACCATCCTCCTGTGTGAGAGGTGTCACATTAGCACTAAAAACATTGCTTAAAAAAGGTTGCAATGTTTCCTGCAACAGAGCTGTCATTGCAGTGATGGCATTGGCAACCTCCTCTGTCTGGAAATGAGTTACTGGCACAAGGTGTGTGTGAGGACAAGGAACCCCTGAAAATGAATGACAATATATTCTGTGTGCAGTAAGCTTCATCACAACCATTACATTGCTTGCACTTGGGTAAGAGGGACATTTTTGGCAGGAACGATTCCTGAGGTCCTGACCTTTTTTGTAATGGACTTTAATAAGTTTCTCATGATATTCACCACATTGGTTGAGGGGAACATATTGTTATCCTCATTGAAATATTAGTCTCTATGGCAGAAATCAAGGATGATATGATTGTTCGAGAAGCAGCTATATTTAGAGTGACATTATTTTATGGCAAAGAAGACAGTTGAAAGGCAATGGTGTGTAGCAGACTGTGTTTTCATTATTGAAGGTTAGGTTAAGCAGAGTTTAGAGTAGATTGTTACAAAGCTAAATCTGCTATGTGCTTTGTTGAGGAGAGTATGGTGTGCCATCTTCACAGGGTATTCTGATGTTGAAGCATTATCTATAACAATTCCATCATTGTACTGTGTCTGACCATTCATGTCAACAATCATTGCAGTAAAATGAAACTCACCAAAGTAAATAATACCACACAAGCGAAATTTTGTGCCTTGTTCTCCAATGTACACAGCAGAATCTAGCTGAATTTGCCTCTGATTTGTGATATATGCTCAGAAGTTAGGGATGTTGACAAAGACATATCTTTTGACCAGTCTTCTTTGCAGCTTTGGCATGCAAAGAGAGTCTTTTTTAAGCCATTCTGAAATCTTTCTATTTTTTGAAGAACCTAACTTAACAAAGGACTTTCTCCAAAGTGATAAACTGCAGTCATATAAATAAATGGAAGCATGTTCTACATTCACAACTACATTGCAGTGGTGACAATGAAGGTGGATGATAACATTGGAGGATGAAGACTGAAACATAGCAAAATACAGGCTGTAGATATCTGCTTCATCTTTTCTAGTGATGGAAAATGCTGCAAAGTCTGTAATGTGTAATATATAGAAGAGCTTTACATTTCTGAAACATGAGTGAGGCCATCAGTCATATCTCTAAAGGGCTCTGATATCCTTTCTGGGCATTCAATCCCCTCTCCCTGAATGTCATGAATCTTGGCAGAACTGCAAGATATCAAACTGTGTTGAAATATTCAGAGTGACCTCAGAAGAGCTTTCCATTATCTGGAACTTGGTTGAGGCCACCATGCAGGTCCCTGTTGACTTTAGGTGCAGAACCAGCCAGAACAGAGTCAATCTCCCACCAGGTATCAAGGTAATCTGAGGAACAAACTGATGGGATTCACCACTCTATTCATAGATATTTATATACCCCTGAGACCCCCCTGTGCACAGACCATCAAGAGCTGCTCACTGATAACCGGTGCTGTATTCCAACACAGCTCGTTGAGTCAGCTGCTGCTTCCACCCTCCCATTCATCAAAACGCAAAGATATCCTCCACTGCGGCAACTTCTGCTGCTTCCTGCTCATCTGAGCAGTCATGATGAACATGCCCTGTCTTTCCACACCTGTAGCAAGTCACAGGGCCTTGCTTCTTTGACTTGGCACCTCCTGATCCCATGTCACCATCTCTGGCTCACTCGCACCATCTGGTCCACCATGCCTCATCTCCTCATTCAGGATCTTCATGCTGATCCAGTCAAAGGTCCATTCCCTGGTGTTCATGTTATCGACCTGTGACACCACTCACCCATACTTGTCCATCAGTCCCATGACCAGGACCAACACTTTCTGAGTTTCATTGACCTCGACATTGACCTCTTTTAGCACCCTCACCATACCCTTTACACTAGCAATTTATCCCTGACCTGACTCGCTCTCCTGCATCTGCACATAATAGAATGCCCATCACTTGGCCAACTCTGTGATAAACCCCTTTGCCCTGTGGGTGTTGCGTAACTTGAACCAGCACTCATGATGGTTCTTCTCTTCTTCCAGAAGTTCCAGCTGGTCCTCTTCCACCTGGAGTATGATCTCCACCCACACCTTGGCCATCTTGTCCTTTATCTGCTTTTGCAGCATCTTGCTCAATGCCTCCTCTGGTGTGACCCCTTCATTCACCTCCACCTCTATGTTCACCTGCTCCCACATATTCTTTTGCACCAGCACCACCTGCATCTTTATCATCCACAGCCTATGGTTACTCTCCACCAACTGGGAGACCTTGGCAGTATCCTACAATTCTTCAGCCATGGTGCAACACAGAGAGGATGAGGATTAGGTCTGAGAAGTAAGGCAGGCAAACAAGCAAGAACTTGATAAGGTGATCAGTTTGTGTTAACTTTAGATGCAGAAATGGCCAGAACAGAGTCAATCTCCCACCAGGTATCAAGGTAATCTGAGGAACAAACTGATAGGATTTACTGCTCTATTTACAGGTATTTATATACCCCTGAGACCCCTGTGCATGGATCATCAAGAGCTGGCAGCGCCGCTCACCGATAACCCATGCTGTATTTCAACAGTCCCTAGAGCACTCTGATACCCTTCCTGGGCAGCCAATCTCCCCCCCAGAACTGCCATTTTGAACTGCATTGAAATATTCAGAGTGACCTCAGAAAAGCTTTTCATTGAGAGAAGAAAATTGAGTTTATGAACAGGCTGCTCATCATCGTCGATGATGATCACAGGCAGCCACAGGCACATTGATCACTATTGTCACACATGATCATGTTGACCTTCAACTTGTCCTAGAGCTTGATTGCACTACAATTCTCCCACCTTCCCAGGCCTGCCATTTCATACAACATGTCTACCTGTTCAAAGCTCCAATATCTTTTGATGAAGCACCATGCACAGACATTGCCAAGACACTGGTATAAGTGCATGAGACAATGTCATCAAAGAGAAGGAAATGTTAGATTGCAAAAGTCATCATATGTTCAACACATCCTGCACATGAGACTTGCACATAGAGAAAGCCCCAACGTGATCCTCTTTTGCACACTTGTGCATCCAGGAACTATTGTTCAGTGTGTCTTCTAACACAGATTTAGATACATATTGATCTGTTGGCCCTGTGAGACTGGATATGAGATGACAAACTAGAACACAGTCAAACATCACTTTAACGCCCTCAGAAAGTCAGTCAAGAGACATACCCTGTTCTCAATCATACACTGTGACACATCAGCCAGATATCCATGGGAGCAGCTGACTAGCAGAGAGAAGACAACCTATCATGTGCAGAAGCATGTTCCCCCTGGAGATGCAGCTTGACTTCATCTTTGGAAACAAGACTACGACACATGATCTTTCCAGTCAGTACTGGCCTGGCCTTTGCCAGTGACTATCCAAGTGTGCTCTGATTTGTCACAGATGAAGCTAAACAAGTAAAGCATAAGCGTGCAATTAGAGCAGCATATAGTTAGACTTTACTTTCCATCTTCTCATGGAGATGCCCTGCAGCTAATCTGCCTCCTTGTATGTCAAGGAATGGGCTATGCAAAATTTCAGAACATCAGTTTCATTTCATCTTGGGCACCTATCGAGCAATTTGCACATCAAAGCTCGTATCATTTGTGATTGATAGCAGATTGTCTTCCATTCTGAGCTCTTTCAAGATGTTTCATACTCTTGGCCACATGCCTATTCCAGCCCAAGCCTCAGAAAGCACAGCAGTCAACTTGTAGATGTCTACAGACACATTATTGCACCATTTGTGGAGTGAGAGTGAATTACAGATCTTCAAGTCCAGCACTGCTGTGATACTAGAAGAATTCAGTAGCAGTAAATCCACTGAACCTGTCATGACTTACACCATTGCAACCTTGAACTTAAGCTCAGTCATAGCTCTGAACGTGCTGGATCAAAACCATATATCATACTATCATACACTGATTCCACAATTGGAGATGAGCCTGGCTCCTGCTGGTTGCTTTAATTTGATGCCAGATAAGACTAGTACAGTCAGAGTGTGAACGCTGTGTAGCCTTTATTATTCACTTTGAGTTGGAGAATAAAAGATGACTAACGGTCCACAAACACAAACACCCAACACTTTCCATCAATCATCCCTCTCCCTTCATTTCTCCACCTACTTGTGAATTGTGACCTTTCTGCCCTGAGGGCTTTCCACTAGTTGTTTTCTTTGTCATCCATCTGCTTGATGCAGAAGCCAGCCTGCATGCATTCTCATTCTTGCATACTCCTTTGTAGATCTTAGCTCAATTCACAGTCTCATCAAGATGTTTTGCAGCTCAAGGACCACTTTCACATGTATAATGTGAAAGCCTGCGCTTTGCAGTAAAAACTGGACTTGCTTGAGCGCATTGCACCTGAGAGTTCTCTGGGCTTGTCAAGGATGCACTGTCACATAGACACAACCTGTGGGTTATATATACTCATAGCAGGAATCTATCACACAGTTGTGTCCAATGTTAGGCTTGGAACCTCAGTTATTGCACAGGTACAATCTGCAAGTTTGTGCTTGCAGCAGGAATCTGACTCGCTCAAGCACATTGCACTTGAGGGGTCTCCTCATCTCGTGAAAAGCTATCCTCCACCCAGGTCATGTACTGGATCCCCCCACAATGCATTCTTCACTGGAGGCATGTTTGTTCTATGCAGGCTGGATACAGGTGCCATTAGCCAGACTATGATGTATCATGTAGCCCTTTTGATGCCAGCAACAGTGTGGAGAAGGATGAGGCCCATTGGATCAAATCCACATGCGATATCCCCACCATAAACAAGGAGGGCAAGGTGTGCTTTGCTGGTGTCATGATATAAATATCCTGATATGAATATTGCAGTATTGTCATATAATGTGGTCACGCCTTCATTGAAGTTATCTATCTTGCTTTGAGCAGATGTATGTTGGGCTTGACCGAACCCACTTCCTCAGCTCTTCCACTCAATGTCATCCTTATGATGCCTCAGGCAATGGGTATCACCATGATGAGGGTGTAGAATGTTCATCCTCAAGTGACTGTCCAATGCAATTGATAAGAACGATCACATCCTTGGTGTCATCCAATCTGATCTTGCAGAGTCTATCACACCTGCATAGCCCAATGCAAGTACAGCTTTATAAGAAGCTTTTTAATGTCACAGAAACTCATTTGCATAAGATCGGCATCATTGAGGCTCATGATGGGACAGATACTCAGGCAGGGAATCTTGTGTAGCTGGAGAGCCTGTGGAGGGTCTTCACTGTCAATAGGAAGAGTGATAATCCCCTCTACATGAGGCCCATAAAGACAAGCATAGTATATGGGAAGGCTGCTTACCATGCTGCCAATCTTGCAAAGTTGATACTGATGATGCATGAATAGATGATCCCAGCAATGATCTCACTATGAAAATAAACCCACAGATTGCTGACCTCATAAAAAACAATATCGTCATCGATAAAGACTGTACGAGTGTGAACCCTTCTAGTGATCAGCAATGTCTAGCATTGCTGGATAATTTTGACACCTCCAGATCAAATTGTGTGCTCATCCTGAAAGAGCCATTTATAATTTCTGATGTATGAAGGAAGAGTTTGTGTGACATTGGGCACTTTGGGTGTCTATGTGATGTTTTTTGATATCTGTGGGACACTTAAGCAATGTGTGGGAGAGTATACCAATACAAAGTGGTTTCATTTTATACCCCTATCCTGAGGTTAGGAGAGGGCCCTTTCTTCAAAACTTTGTCACTGTGTTACATTTTGTTCTTACTCAGATTTGTTAACTTTTGTAATGGGCATACAAACCGGAGTTTGAACATGCACAATGCAGCTAATCCAAACAGGTGCAAATGATAAGAGCCAATCACAGCATTGAATCTGCTAGGGTTAATGCCTTAAGGGCTGATGGCTTCAAAGCTGTTCAAATCATTGTATTTAATGCCTTGAAAGCAATTGAAACCAAGGCATTCAATGGCTTCAAAGTGGTTCAAACCAGAGTATTCATTATTTGTTATGTATTTCAGTACAGTGACACAAACAATGACTGATTTAACATCTTCAGACTCATTATAGTCTCTACTTGAAGAATAAGCAATAAATCTCCACATTCTACTGCTCGTTACTTCAATTCCTTCATTCTGAGCATATTGAAATAAGAGCTATTGATGCAATCAATTGAAGTTTTCCATCACCACAGTATTTTAATCCATATTTCGACTTTTTATACATGATAAATTACCCATTGATGCTTCGCAATCAGAACTGCATGCAGGCCATTTTCTGTCTCAAAAAAGTGAAGATTTGAGGTCACAGAATGTATGAAGATGTCAGCCACTCAAATTCTCACACTTTATATTGCCACAATGTGCAAATAACACCAAACTATAACATGGGCTTCTGTGCAACTAGCTAGTTGCATGGAAGCCCACGTCATAGTTCATTGTTGTTTATAAAACAATGAGAGTTGCACTTTTTTAAAATCAAAAGCACATAAAACTGCACAGACTGAGAATTGGACTTCAGACTTCTAGGACTTACTTCTCAGATAGTACCAAGCATTCTCTCCACTAGACCACCTGCTGCTTATCACAAACACAGCCCAAATATAATATACAGTGATCAACAAAAGTGCACAAATATTTTCTTGGTTTTTCTTCCATCTTCACATTGGCTGTAGCTATACTCACAGATAAAATAGTATTAGAAAGCCATCTTCTCAGCTCTCAAATGAGTGTCTGTTGGTGGAATCTTTATGTCCTGTTGTGAAGATATATGCAACTCTATCAGGTTAACTCATTTATACACTTTTGTCACTAACAAACTTCAAAACTCTAGTAGTTGAGTGTTCAACCCTTTTCCTTAAACACTGCCTTAACCCATTCATACATGTTTTTAATCAAAATCTAATGCACAAACCTATCAATACTCTTTCATTTCTTTTTCAATTGCTTTTACAATTCTGTAATCTTTGAGTAGCTCCTCATGCCTTGCTAATCTTTTTGTGAGATAAGTTCAACAATAATCTGTGAAATCAAGCTCTGATAATTGATCATGCCATACCACAGCCTTAATAGTATTCTCTTTAAGTCAGCTAAGTCATGCTTGAGATTATTATCTTGCTGAAACACCATTTCCTTCACTTTTGCTGCAATGCTTCAAGACATTTTGAAGCTCATTTCTCAAAATGCTAACATGATATCACATTCATCTTGTCATCAGTTGTACAGGTATATCTCATTTCTTTTCAAACTATACAGATCCACATTATCCGTGATTTTTTACCATCTTGATGATATAGCATATCAGAATATGTTCAGCCAGACAAGTTCTACCCATGCTATGTTTGATGTTTGGAAGTATGATTTGTATAGTGCATCAGGGTTTGATCAAAAGCATACATACTCTACAACCATACTCAATGAACACAGTGAATGTGATTATATCTATCTATAGCAGACTTTCAGCTTAAACAAGTGAATAATTGTGAGGGCTACAAAACCTATAACATTGTCAGCCACTCAGAATGTACAAACCAAGTTAAAGATAATAAGAAGGTCTTCTGAGGTCACTTGGAATATTGAAATGGCAGATACGGAGATTACTCTGAATATTTCAACACAGTTCAAAATGGCAAACATCTTGCAGTTTCGCCAAGATTCATGACATTCTGGGGGAGGGGATTAAATGCCCATAAGAGTGTCAGAATGCTTTAGGGACTTGAAGTGGTGGCCTCAACCCAGCTTCAGATAATGGAAAGCTCTTCTCAGATCACTCTGAATATTTTAACACAGTGGTGAAAAATGCTGCAGAGTCTGCAATGGGTAATATGGAGAAGAGCTTTACATTATCTGGAAAATGGGTGAGGCCACAATTTAGATCCCTAAAGCATTCTGATACCCTTTCTCAGCATTCAACCCCTCCTCCAGAATGTCATAAACCTTGGCAGAACTGCAAGATATCAATATTCAGAGTGACCTTAGATAAGCTTTTCATTATCTGAAACTTGGTTGGGGCCACCATTAAGGTCCCTAAAGCCCTTGATACCCTTTCTGGGCATTTAAACCCCTCCACCAGAATGTTGCGAACCTTGGCAGAACTGCAAGATGTCTGCCATTTTGAACTGAAAAGATGAAACAGATATCTACAGCTTGTGTTTTGCTATGTTTCAGTCTTCATCGTCCAATATTACCATCCAACTTCATTGTTGACACTGCAATGTGGTCATCAATGCAGAAGATGCTTCCATTTATTTATGGGACTGCAGTTTATCAATCTGGAGAGAGTCCTCTGTTAAGTTAGGTTCTTCAAAAATAGAAAGCTATTGGAATGGCTGAAAGCCCTTCTTTCTAACAAGACTTGCTTGGCATGCCAAACCTGTCATGGAAGACTGGTCAGAAGATATATATTTGCCAACACCCCTAACTTCTTAGCATTTATAACAAATCAGAAGCATTCAGCTAGATTCTGCTGTGTACATTGGAGAACAAGGCACAAAATTTCGCTTGTGTGGCATTATTTACTTTGGTGAGTTTCATTTTACTGCAAGGATTGTTGACATGAATGGTCAAACACAGTACAATGATGGAATTGTTACAGATAATACTTCAATTTTAGAAGACCCTCTGAAAATGGCACACCCTGCTCTCCTCAACAAAGCACATGATAGATTTAGCTCTGTAGCAATCTACACTAAACTCTGCTTAACCTGACCTTTAATAATGAAAACACAGTCTGCTACGCAGCATCACCTTTTGACTGTCTTCTTTGCCATAATATAATATCACTCTATATACCACTGCTTCTTGAACAATGTGGTGAATATCATGATAAACTTATAAAATTCATTCTGAAGAATATCAGAACCTCAGGAATCATTCCTGCCAGAAATGGCCCTCTTACCTAAGTATAAGTAGTCAGTCTTCTGTGACTGGAGCACTTGAGAGCACTGTATCTGGATCATCTCACCCAACATACTGATGACTGGACTGGCATTTTTGAAACAGCATGTACAGCTACCACCCTAGCCTTTCAGTACTGCATTGTTATCACAAGAGGCTCCAAGAATGAGCTTGTAGAAAATTTGTAATGTGCGAAGATCATTCATGTATTGAAGAGGTCTGCAAACATGATCTTTCTATTCTCTGGCCAAGGCGAGCAGTATCCAGGAATGAGGTGTGGTGTTTATGAGAAAATATCATGCTTTCATCAAACAGTCAATCTGTGTGATGAGAAACTTTCAGCTGGGGATCTCTGAGATCCTCTATGTCATCACTGTGCAAGATCCGAATTATGCTGCTCATCATCAAGTTGGTGAGATTGTTTACTGGCAGTCTGCCATTATACTAGAGTATGCTCTGGCAAGTACGTGGATCTCGTGAGGGCTGCAGTTGCTAGACACAGGTGAGCAAACTTCATGTGCAGTCTCAAAAATCAGCTGATGTTTTATAGCCTCGGGAAGTATGTGGCTTTTGTGTTCTTGGGAGTCCTCTTAGTTAATGATGACAGCTGAGGCCCCTGTGTGAGTGGATCTCTGTGAGATCCATGAAAGTGGTATCATTGCTGACCTCTGTGCTGTCAGCATTGACAGCTGTGGGAGCTTTCAATATACTCTTCTGGGGCTTCTGCATATGCTGTGTCACACATTTCATACATGAGGGACAGTACACATGAAAGAGTGGTGCACCTTTGCAGCAGGGCTGAGCTTCTTTCCAGGTGCAATGCTGTATGCTCATCTGTGACTGCTATGATGAGATCGTTCACCTTGGTTGAGGATAAGGATGAATCTGCATTTGTGTGGTGTCATTTTCTCTGCACTGCTGCAAGAGAGTGATATCTGAGAGAGTGGGCATGTGCACTGTGTATGTCTTCATCAGTGCATGTTTTCATCAATGAGTTGAGATGTGATGGTCATGTGCACAATGCAATCACTGGGCCTGGGAAAATTGCCACCTTATACATGCTTAGTGCTGCCTTATGCATGCTTCATCCCTGCCACTTCATACCATTTTGCTGTCACCATTCTATTGCTTCACTGCTGACCTCTTGAACTTCATGCCTGATGCAATCTGTGCTGATGACCATGATGACTCGAGCCTGGAATGATGGGTCATTTTACAAAGGTCCTATATCAACTAGTGCATTCTCATCCATGTCCTACCTGCCTTTCCACTCACAGCCTTTCAACTTCAACATACAACCTTTATTGTCTGATCAATATATGTTGCATTAAATTCTGTGACTATTTGCAGTAAGGGCTCTGTAAATGTTCAAAAAGTACTCATGCATGAGTAAGTCACCTTATGTTGTGACAATTCATTTCTCTCCTTTACTGTCTCATGCTCACTTTGGAGCATTAGTCTCTCATGATGTTGATATGCACTGAATAGCTCTGTACTCAGAAGCCCAACAAAAAGAGTAACTGAGGACTGCATCACTTGATTATGCATATTAGACAAGTGGAATACTCCAGGCAAAACAGTGAAAGGGCCCCCAACTCTGAAGAACCTGCAGAAGCATCAGGAAGGGTCATACATGAGGCTCAAAGGAGATGAGAGTGCTCCCTAAGTGAAAGAAGTGCAGGGCAGCAGACCATTGAACCCTTTGTGGGCCTGCACCTTCTGATTCCCCAACTGCAAGCAATGATGAGAGGAGGTGGAGAATGTCTTAGAAACTGTTTCAGAGGATCGGAAACATCTTTTGCTTCACTAAAAGATGTTGTGCTACACCTATATAATGGCTTGTGTGCATAGCACAATAATAAGGAAACTTCACCCCTCAGATTTCAGCTTCTATGCATATATTCATGATAGGGCAGCATGCCCTATTCTGTCTCATTAGTCTATGTTCATGTTTCACATATCACTGGCTGTCAACACCATGCAAGACAGCACTCTTGATAGCGGTTCATAGCTCAACTCAGGAAGCTACCTAGCTAAGTCACAGTCTCACACCCATGCCACCTCATTTCTCTTCTCATGCCACCAGTCAAAAGCTCTAGCAACTCAGATTCCTATTTTCATTGAACTCTGTAGCCCCAGTAAGTGCCCAGTACAGATCCGTAGTGCTGAAGAGTTGAATATAGATGCCTCAGAGACCCAGGTGTTCAGAGCACTGGGGGAGCTGTCTGTAGTTCCCAAATTGCCCAGATTAGCCAGACTAGTCCTATGGTCCCATGTTGCTGCATAGTCCTAGCAAGTCTTCCCAACTCACTCATCCAAGTCCCTCATTGTCCAGCCCACACACACACACCCATCCCATTTTACTCTCAACTTGCTTGGAGTTGGGGTATCACCCTAGTCTACTCCATCACTCACCATTTTGTTTCAAGCATAATGCTGAATGACTCACAGTGGCCCCTCACTGCATTATCAACTGAAGTTCCTGTGACCATTGTACTGTGATATAGACACTAAACACTTCCTAGCATGGCAAATGGGGAGCAATCACTTTTAAGAGCAGAAAGGCCTGGGAGCATGCAGAATAGCGGCACAAAGTGGCAAAGGCCTTCGAAGAGAGAATGAATAATATTTCACGAATAATATTTCACGAACAAGGCCAGTTGCCGAAAAGGGTAGAGCTGATAGGCGCCCATAGTGCGCTGGTCCGAGACGAGTTTAGTGGGCCGAGCATGTCGCCCGTCGATGTCGTCGACAGCTACCACCCATCGCCCCATCCTGCCTTCCTCGCAGCGCGTTAGCTCTGCCGCAGTGCATAAACGCACTTTGCTCTCCCCGTCAGCCCGCGCATCCTCGTCGACTTACATGGCGGCCTCTTCCCTCGCGCCGACGTCCATCACTCTCCCTGCCCCGGACGACTTTTGCCCCAACTTTGGCCGGGATCTCCTCCCCGCACAGGACCTGCTTCCTCATGCACCACAGACTGACACCGACAACTTGGTCATTGCTCCATGGCTTGCGACACCAGAGGAGGATGCACAGCCGGTGAGCTCCTTTTGTTCATCTGCGTGTCTGTGCTAAGATGGTGCCGCACAGCCGACCCCGCCACCAAAGCCACGGACCTTTGGATTCTCGAACAAATCTTCGTTGTCGTCCTTCACCCTCCCGCGACAATCCAGCAGCTCGAGCATCTCCCTCTCCGGCTCACGCTCCTCTCAGACCGTCAGTACGCACTCCATATCCTCCAACCCTGATTTTTCGTCCTCTCATGAGCCACGGAAACCCAAATCGTCGTTTGGAATGCTTCACCATATCATCAAGAAGCGCTCTCGGAGCCGGACGCGGTCTGACGTTCCTCCTTCAGACGAAGTCGTACCGCCGCTGCCAACCTCGCACTCATTTTCTACAGCCAGTACATCGACAGCTCTTTCAGGTGCCTCCTCTAGTTCGCAATCCTCCATCAAGGACAAGTTCCGCAGGAACAAGCCCTCTAACCTTTCTCCTGACTCTCCTCGCCCCAAGGCCGAGCATGAGCACCAGTTCATGCTCGATACCGATCTCGGTAAGATGGACGGTATCGTCGATCCATCTGTCATGTCCTCAGCGCCAGATAGTGGCTCACCTCTCAGCGGCCACTTCGACCGCTCCAGCTCCGACCTCTCGTCCATGAACTATCCCATCGCGGCGCCCTCGCCCAATATCTTCAGCAACCCATTCTCTCCTTCAAGCAGTCACTCGCTGACACCTGTACCGTCCAAGTTTGACAGCCGCAAGATTTCCCCGACTACGCGCCCGCAAGAGATCGTAGCTGACGACTCGCCAATGTGGACTGCACCGGAGAGCTGGGCGGTGGACAAGGAAGGAGAGGATGCATCTGTGTCGGCGATAGCAGAAGAGGAGTCGAGCTCTGATGACAACGAGGCGAGCGGTGCGAGTCGGCCGAGGCCCGAGCGCAGGAGGACAGCAGCCGCAAGCGTGGGGGGCAAGTCTTCACAGTCATCAGTCGTATACCAGATTCGAATATATCGCGCGAACGGAACGTACCACGTCGTGAAGATTGATCTTTCAGTGACGGTGGAGCAACTTACATTCACCCTCAATAAGAAGCTGCTCCTAAATCCAGAGCGGGAGCCGTACAGTCTATATCTGAAGGAACGGGGCCGAGGTAAGTGCGTTGTTACTAAATAGTGCCCGTCGTTAATGCTCCGTAGAGCGTGTTCTAGCACCGACGGAACGGCCCGCCAACGTCGTGCGCCGCCGGTTGGAGCAAGCAGGGTATGAACAGAAAGACGGGCTCGATATGCTCGGGGCGGGCGACCTGGCATTCCTGATGAGATTAGTCTACAAGAGCAACGTGCTCGGACCAGCGGTGCGTCCCTGAACATCATACATTCTGTATGCCGGCTGTCTGACGGTGCGTTGTCATACGTGCAGTCAGACGAACTGCATATCGACACGTTTGAGAACATCAATTTGACAGGGCGTAGCCTGCGCACGGTACCGATCCTGCTCTACCCACATGCAGACGCGATCGTTTCGCTGAACCTCTCGCGTAATCCGATGCTCGAAATCCCACTCGACTTCATCCAGGCGTGTACGTCGCTTCATGAGCTCCGCTTGACCAATATGGCGATGAAGAAGGTCCCTCAGAGCGTTCGGCATTGTTCTACGCTCCGCCGGCTCGATTTGTCTTGCAATCGCATCGCGGACCTCGATGACGCGGGCTTGGACAGGATCCCCGAGCTATGGTCATTGAAGGTGCAGAATAACCGCATGGAGAAACTCCCATGGTGGTTTCCGCGACTAAGGGCGCTGAAGGATCTGAACATTTCGAACAACAAATTTCGCGTGCTACCCTCGGTGATCTCGGGTATACCGAGCCTCGTCGATCTCGACGTGTCGTTCAACATGATCGACAAACTGCCGGACAATATTGGCCAGCTCCGCGAGCTCGAACAGCTCATCATTATCGGTAATCAGGTTTCCGAGTTTCCTGCGAGCTGCAGCGAGCTGATCAACCTGCGAATGCTGGACTGTCGACGGAATCACATCTCGGAGATCTCGAAAGTGAGCATGCTGCCGAAGGTTGAGCAGATCTTCGCGGACCATAACGCTATGCATGCGCTGGACATCTCGTTCGGACCATCGGTGAAGCAACTCGATGCGTCGCATAATGACATTACCCAGCTTGCGCTGGCCCCAGGTCCGCTCGACCAGCCCTTTGCACTTACTTCTCTTGATATCTCGCATGCGAAGCTGTCAGCTCTTGATGAGCGCGCGCTGGCGCAACTGACCGCTCTGGAGGTGCTGCGTATCGACCACAACTCGATTCGCTATATACCTGACTCCTTGGGTTCGCTCAGTCAGCTCATTCATCTATCTTGCTCGAACAACCAGCTTCGTGCTCTGCCGAATACCATCGGTCAGCTGCAGAAACTTGAAATGCTCGAAGCGCATAATAACTCGCTATCCGAGCTTCCGGGAACACTGTGGAACTGCGCATCTCTGCAGCTGATCAATGTTACCTCTAATTTGCTTGGGTCATGGGGACTGCCACCAATCCACGGCACCGTTACGCCCGCTGTCGTGGCGAACAGTGCATCTAGCGAGAAGCTTGCTGTCGGTCCCGCAGGAAGTGGGAGCTTCTCGGAACGCAAGGCTTCGACCGGCGGCTCGGTCTCAGGGAGAACGCCACCGCCGCTCGTGTTCTCCTTGGAACGGCTCTACCTAGGCGAGAATCGTCTTACTGACGACACCCTCCATCCTCTCGCGTTGCTGCAGGAACTTCGTGTGCTCAACCTGTCATTCAACGATATTCAGGATATTCCACCGTCGTTCTTCAGGAATTTGGCACAGTTGAGAGAACTTTACCTCAGCGGAAACAGGCTGTCCACGATTCCAACCGAAGATTTGCATCGCTTAACGAAGCTCGGCGTTCTGTTCCTTAATGGCAATAAGTTGCAGACGTTGCCTCATGAGCTCGGGAAGCTGATGAGTCTCACCGTTCTTGATGTCGGTAGCAATATCCTCAAGTACAACATCTTCAATTGGGAGTATGACTGGAATTGGTGAGCCGACACCACACCCGCGTGGAAGGACTTGCACCGATCGTGAATGATTTACAGGAACTTCAATACGAGTCTACAGTACTTGAACCTGTCCGGTAACAAGCGCCTTGAAATCCGTACCGACATGGCTCCGGTCAAGGAGGACGAGAAGCGCAAGGTCTTGGCGGACTTCTCTGGCCTGACCCAGCTGCGCGTCCTCGGGTTGATGGATATCACTGCTACGAACGGCGCCAGTATACCGGATGAGAACGAGGATCGGCGAGTTCGCACCTCATTATCCGAGGTCAACGGTATGGCTTATGGCATCGCGGACACCCTCGACCGTGCTACTGAGCATCTCAACATGCTTGACCTCGTTCAACCCCAATTTCGCGGCAAGTCCGACGAGGCTGTGTTTGCGATGTTTGGACGTGCATCCCATATTGGCAACAACCATTGGCTCAACAGCTATCTTCAATCACATTTTGTGCAGGCCTATCAGGAAGAGCTCGAGCGCCTCCGACCTGATGGGAATGAGGCCATTCCCGATGCACTGCGGCGCGCCTTTTTGAAGCTCAATCGCCACCTGCATGATTACTTGTACTCCAACGCTTCGGCTCGCAAAATGTCTCATGTCAGCACGTCGACATCGAATGCAGTCAAACGCGATATGGCGAATATGCGTAGTGGTGCTTCTGGGGTTGTATTGCATCTCGTGAAGACAACACTATATGTCGCTAACGCCGGGCGATCGTTGGCTGTGGTCTCCAGACAAGGCAACGCGAAGCCATTGTCAAAGTTGCATGATCCTTTTGACCGGGAGGAGACATCGAGAATCAGAAACGCAGAAGGATGGGTGTCGCCCAAGGGTTGTGTCAACGACGAAATTGATGTTGCGAGGTCGTTCGGCTTCTACAATCTCTTGCCAGTGGTTAATCCCAAGCCGTACGTACACACGTATGAGCTCAACGAGCAGGACGAGTTCGTGATCGTGGGTAACTCTGGGTTGTGGGACCATGTCTCTTATCAGACGGCAGTAGACATTGCACGCACAGAGCGAGGGGATCCGATGATCGCTGCCCAGAAGCTCCGAGACCTCGCTATTAGTCATCATGGCCTTGCGGATGGCCTTGCGGACGGCACGACCATGATTATGGTAATCTCGGTGGCCGATCTGTTCAGAGGAGCGTCACGCTCTCGCCAGCCGACAATGGAATCCGTGATGGACACCGAAACGAACCTGTTGTTAAAGCGTCGCAAACGGGACAAGCTCATTACAAATATAGATATCTCTCGTCTTGATGGAGAAGTGCCGGCACCGACGGGCCATGTCACGTTGGTTTTCACAGACATCCGCAATTCCACTCACCTGTGGGAGGTCAATGCTGGCATGCCGACTGCGATGGTTCTCCACAACAACCTATTACGCCGCCAGCTTCGCTTCTGCGGAGGCTATGAGGTGAAGACCGAAGGCGATGCGTTCATGTGCTCGTTTCCAAGCGCGCTCGCCGCGATATGGTGGTGTCTGAGTGTGCAAGTCCAGCTGCTGGAAGTTGAGTGGCCGCTCGAGATTTTGGAGTGCGAAGATGGTAAGGAGGTGTACGGCGCCGATGGAAAAGTGCTCGTGCGCGGCCTTTCGGTTCGCATGGGCCTCCATTCGGGCTTACCTGTTTGCGAGCCCGATCCCATCACAAATCGCATGGACTACTTCGGGCCCATGGTCAATCGAGCATCGCGAATCAGTGGATGCGCTGCGGGCGGCCAAATCATGTGCAGCGCTGATATCGTGCGAGAGATCAATGCGCTGGTTCTAAAGACGGAAGGTGAGACGGAACAATCTATCCTACAGCCTGCACAAGCCGTCGACGCCATCAAGAGCCTTGGCATCGTCGTGGTGCCAGTGGGAGAGGTGAAGCTGAAAGGTCTGGAGGTCCCAGAAATGCTGTCGCTCGTGTACTCCGAGGAGCTCGCGGGCAGGCAAGGTCTCAATCCTGGCCCCACAGATCCCAGTCCTTCCACTTCGCGCGTGCAGTTCAGTGTGGAGCAGATGCGAGAGCTCGCTCTCCTGTGTATCCGACTGGAAGCATTATCAGCAGGACGGGTTTGCCGGCCCAACTCTACAGCCTCTCGCAGCCCTTCACAGCCTGTGGATGAGCCCGCGGATGTTGCGTTCTCGCATTGCAAACCGCAGACCCTTCTTCCCGCCATGGACAAAGCTTCTGACGCAGACCTCATGTACCTGCTCGACTCGCTCGCCACTAGAATTGATAATGCACTGACCAGATTATCTCTCAATCGTCTTACTATGGTAAAGGACCGGAATGCCACGGTCGACTCGGACTGGCTGCAACAATTGATATCCATTATCCGCCCGTAATACATTTCCTGCTGGCAGTTTGGCAGCATTCCCGTTTCTGACTAACATCATCTTGTACCTGCTGTATCGCTATCGTGCTTTCGTCGTGCTTGATCCCCATTGTGCATGCTGTTCTTGTCTATCATTATTACCTTAACAACTGTATTGAATGCATTGGCGGTGAGACTATGTCTTGCGGAATGCGTGAGACGTCCGACGGGCACACGCACAAGGTATGACAGGGTGTGCGGAATGAGAGGAGGTCGCGCACAAAACTTACTGAATAGGATGTACGTATGCTACAGCTCCATAACATCAATGATGAAGTTCAGACTGTCCTGGTGCAACCCAGACAACGTCCTCGTCCCTCTCGCTGCCAACGGCCGCATCACTATCACCCTCACTGCTCAACGCCGCCCAGTCGCCCTCAATGCGGTCCTCCAACGCAGCGATGCGCGCGCCGCGCTGACGCAAAAAGGCCACCACCTCCCGCGCAGACCTCCAAGCCACCGGCTCCAAAAGCGCTTCCACGCCCTCGGCCGTGTCGACAAGGCCAGTATCAGTATTCTCTTCGACCACACCTCCGTATGCGCGTGCGAGGTGCGCGGACGCGCGGACGCGCTTTCCCTCGGCCTTGTCGAGCTGCGCGAAAAGCGATGCGAGCGCCTTGGCAGCCTCGACGCGCGCGCGCAGGACGTGCCTGATCAGGCGGCGTGTTGGCGGGCGGCGCCGTTTGCGTGCGGTGGGTAGTTGGGGAGGCAGCTGCTCGGCCTCAGATGGACTCGGCGTTGGCGTTGGCGTAGCCCGCCGCGCCTTGACCTTGGATCGGTCGACCCACTCATTTTCAGGCGGAACGTGCGGTACGGTGTACTGCGCGAGCACGGTAGATGAGAGATCCCAACGTTTGGGCATCCAGACGCCCACGAGGATGCGCCAAGCGGAGACGAGGCGTTTTGCGCTGCATTTTGTTATCAGCACTGCGCTTGTGAATCACGTCTAAAGGCATACCGTTCATAGTTAGCTTGACGACGGAGCAAAGTCAGTATGTTGGCGTCGCTCGTGAACGGCGGAAGCGTACCGTTGACCAGCTTAGTATGGTACATCGCGAACAGCACGACCATTGCAGCCGCGATGACTGCGCCAAAGGTCGTATAACGCAGGAAGGCCCAGACGAAGAAAAACACAGCAGGGTAGATCAGCAGGAGGAGCAGGAGTCCAAAGACGACCTTGTTCTGCGCCTGCGTCTCTTCCTCGTCCTCGGCGAGACGTGCGCCGAAGCGCGCGAAGAGGTACGCGGGCGAGTGCAGCAGCAGAGGGCCGAGGAAGAACGGCAGGCGAACGAGCAGTGCAAGCGTATCACGTATGAGCAGGGTGAGTGTAAACAGTCTACTGGGGAGAGGGATGGTGCGATGAGGATCGAGCGTCTCCGGGAGGGGTAGTGAGGATAGCACTGAATTAGTGAGGTGGGTAGATTGGAGTAGTGAGTAGTATGTGAGTAGATGGCGTCGAATCGCTGTGAAATTTGGAACCAAATCGGGTGTGGAGAATAGATCGACCAGGCTAGGGAGACTTATTAGCTGCAATAGACCAAAGCAGGCCAGGCACGTACGTTTGCGAGATGATGACGAACTCGTCGAGGTTGATGGACTTTTCATTGTCCCAGAGCAGATCCCTCGCCATGCGCGCAGCATACAGAGTGTCCCTGCTGCGGGTCAGCACTATGCCAGCAGGAATTAAACCATGCGTACCAATCCGGTGCGTTGACTGTGGTTTCGATCAACTTTTGCTCGAGCGCGGCAGTTAGTCGCTTCACTGCTGAGCGTGGGGCACCTTCTTCAATGGACATGAACTGCTCTAGGTACGGATCAATGCTCATGGGCGGACCAAACCTAGACAGTCCACAACGGATGAATAACTTCTCATACACCAACACAAGGCGGTCTCACTCCATGATAGCCTGTCAGCAATAGACGTCAGCACGTGCAGCAAGCGCGAAAGCGAACGTATTCACATTACTACGGTACTTTGTCTTGTTCGTGTAGACGATCGCGGCGGTGACGATGCGCACGTTCTCCGCGCCGGGCATCACGCGGTCTGGGTGTTCGCGCGCCCACTTGGCGTACTCGAGCGCGGCCCAGGCCGCGCCGTCCTTGACCTGCACGATGCGCGGCTCGGTGTAGGACGTGCCTTCGGGGAAGACGGCGACGGCGTGTCCGTGCGAGAGCGCGTCGAATGTGCCGAGGAAGAGTTTCTTGCGGTCTTTGGCTTTGCGGTCGACTGGGATGTTGCCTGCCGAGCGGAGGACGTAGTCCGCGATGGGGTTCGCGAATAAGGAGGCTGAGAACATGTTCCGATGTAGCTGGTGAGTGTGTGGAGATGCGGAGATGCGCACCTTTGGCCCAGAAGTGGAGGATCCGGTGGTAGGGGAACATGGTGGCTAGTACCAGGGGTTAGATGGGCGCAGTGGAAGTCAGAAAGGGAGAGGGCTTGCAGAGTATCGCAGGGTCAATCATCATGTTGTGGTGTGTCGCGATGCTGGGGGGTATCATACGTTAGCACCGTGCACCGCGTCGCGAAACAGGAGGCAGCATCCTCGACATGTTCAGCAGGACGCTGCATCCTCTCATTGGCTTTCCACGGAGCATCTCGAGTCTCGATGACTCCTCGGGAGCACGTCGAGCCAGACAGCATATGATGCACGACTTACACGATGATGGGCCCATTGCGGGGAACGTTCTCGCCGCCTATAATCCGAATTTCGGTGAAGAACGAGACCAGCGCCCACGCTGCGATCTGGCGCAGAAACCGGTGGAGGAAGTACGCATTGGGCATCGTCGTCTTCGTCGTCGTCGTCGTCGTCGTCAAGAACAAGCACGCGCACGCCACCGGGGCTGCGAAGAGTGTGAGGTGAGCTGGCCGGGATGGGATGGAATGAGGAGGGGTCTCGTCCAGCGCTACCCCGCGTCGCCCAGAGAGCCAAACAGCGCACAACACCGCGCCCGACACGACTTGGGCGCTTGTTCGCGTGCGTGTCGATCAAGCCACAGAGCACGATGCACACCGTCTACGCTCGGGTCAACAACGTCTCTGCGCTGCTCTCGTCCTGCACGATGGCGCTGCTCGCCGCCATCGCGCTCTCGTCGTTCCTCTTCACCGCGGACCCGAAGGGCTCGCTCGCCGTCGCCTCCGTGCAAGTGTGCGTCGAATCCTACGGCGCTGTGACCCGAACCTGATTCTGGCGGATGCTCTTAGGTTCACCGGAAACACACGGCGCTATGCGACGAAAAAGCAGGAGCTCGCGTTCGTGAACTTTAACCTGACAGCCGGTACGTCCCCGCACCTATCCGCGCCGGCTCGTGCTCTGCTCAGCGCGAGACGCACCCGCCAGACCTCTCCCCTCTATTCAACTGGAACACGAAGCAGCTCTTCCTGTACGTGACGGCAGAGTACACGAACCGCCAGGGGGTGCGTGCGTTTGCATTTCCACCTACCCGTCCATTCTCTCTGTACCCATCCCGCGCGCACTAAGACACGCTGCTGGCCAGGTCACCAATGAAGTCGTCATATGGGACAGGATTGTTCGCCGTAAAGAAGACGCCAAGATCGAAACGGCGGGCCGCAATAGATATACTTTCCGCGAGATGAGCACGTCTTTCAGGTGCGCAGACCGGTCCAGCCTCGTCCGTTCGTCCCATCCTGTGTCCGCCGACGAGCCCGCGCACCCATCCAACTGGTGTCGGCGTGCATCTCATTCGCTCGCGGCCGTTGGTCTCGGCTCGGGCATGCACGCTCATATATGTGGTTCTGCGAGACTCTACCGGCAAATTATGCTCTCGAACACAGCATGATGCCGTGCTCATGTATGGCGCGCAGCGTGGATGCCGGACGCCGTCCCATTTCTGGCCAGGCACGAACTTTCATAGCCTTATGCCATTGCATGGCGTTGACGCCGGAAATCACGATTTTCGGTCACTTGCGTTCAATCAACGCCGTCCTGGTGTCCGCACTTCCGATATAGACAAAGAGCGGCGTCGCGACCCTGTGGAGCCCATGAGCCACTCCACGCGTCCATCTTTTCTCATTCCGAATCGCATGCGCACTCCACACCCAAAATAACATCTTTCATATCGTCCCTTGACTACGTTCATCTCGGCTTCTCTGACTGTCCGCTCACGTTCGGTTCCTGTGCATCCAGGGACACGCCGCCGGCGAATTACTCTCTCAAGTACAACGTAATGCCGTACGTCGGGGTGCTCACGTACGGCGAGGCGGCACGGACGCTCGACGCGGTGCCCTTCCCGGCGCAGCACGAGCTCTCGTAGATATTGTATGTTGCCCTCGAAACGATGTACGCCGCCGAGGCAGCATGGCCTGCTGGACCACGCGGGTGGTCTTTTTCTTTCTTTCTTTTTCATTTGCGCCGGCGCGCGTTGGAGAATTGTTAGCGTCCAAGAAAAATATAACGGCCGTTCCCGCAACGCATATGGCCTGGCGTGTTCTGCTCAGCACTGTCAAGCCTGGCTGATATGAGATTGATTTCATTTTAAGCTCGTGCACGCATCCATGCACCCGTCCGGAACGTCCCAGGACCCTTGTCGCTGGCACACGCCGTACCGTACGCATGCTCATTGACAAAGGAGCAGCTGGGCCGCTTCTGGCAGGTCTCCGAGCGAGATGCGGATGCTAGCTGGCCCTTCGGTGGTTCTCGTAAAGCGATTCAGGGTCATCAGACGGTTCTTTTTCATTTCGTGAGCGAACATTCGAACCGCTTTTTCGCACCGCGCGGGAGGTGCGTTAACTCCACCGAGGCTCGGGCAGGCTGCGATAATGGGGTGCAGCGCAAAGTTCGCCATGATTTCGTGGTTGGTATATATGATTGCGCGTGGCGTGCCTGGGCGATAGGACGGGTGGAGTGAGCGACGTTGGCGTGGATGCCGCGTGGAAGCGATATCTCATTAATCAATTGCGACGTTCGAATGGATCGATATCATTGTAGAGGCGAGGCCCCGCGGTGTAAATGCGCAAAGTCGTGTTCGGTGCTCGGGAAAAGCCCAAGGTGGGCGCACGTGTCGTTGTGCGTGGTAGATCATGCTTCGAAATTGAAGACACGCTTCGTGAATTCAACGGGCGCGCGGCCACCGGGGAGATGCCATATGCGTGGGGCTTCTTGATCGTCGATATCTTTGTTCCAGAAACGGGTTCGGCGTTGAGTACGATGTTCACGTCGACGCGCGAGGCCGCATGTCGAGCTATCTGCGAGGGTTCCATGCGTCGGCTGATCTCCGGGGTGGCGCGTGGCATGGGGATGCTGCGGGCGAAGAGGCTGGTGCTGATGGGCTGCTATATGGGCGGTGTCTTGTGCATAGACAAGGTCGGGCATGGCAGGCCGAAATGATTGACGCGAGCGCAGCAAGCAGGGCTCTTACGTCTGAAGGCGTGCTCAATTCTTAGAGTTCGGCACGCCAGTTCAGTTCGTCGACCTCAAATACCAAGGGGACGGCGATGCCGAGCAAATGCCGAGAATTACATAAGCAAATGTGGCTGTTGAGATGTCCGGCAGTTAATTCTATCTTTGGGACATTCCTACATTTCTTGTGTGAATTGCTGCTTGTGTAAACCCCAAATTGCGATGCGGACATCCCTGAAAAGAAGACTGCACACCCACAATCTTCTCACGGTTTGTGGTGTCCAGCTGCAGACAACCTACTGTGACGAATGGCTGTGTATCTCACTCTCACAAAGTCACAACATAGATGAGGAACAATGATGACATTGACAGCAGCTACTGCATGGTCCTGCATATTGCTGTCATCAAATGTGCTGAGATAGTCTGTGTAATTATTGCTTGGAAGCATTTTAACATTCAGGCTAAGCAACTCTGTGCATACATGTTGCAATCCATGGTAAACCAGAGCACTAGGGAAGGTGCGACGGGAGATGGCAATAAAAATCGAGAAAATGTAAAGCAATCCTTCGGAAATAATCTCGCCACTCCTGTTCCCTGCCTAGCGTTCCCACGAGCCACTTGGCTTACATAATATTCGGCATCTGCTCGGCATCGCCGTCCCCTTGGTATTTGAGGTCGACGAACTGAACTGGCGTGCCGAACTCTAAGAATTGAGCACGCCTTGAGGCAATCAATGTCTCTCTCGGACCATCGAAATGGGCGGCTCTGTGCGTGGCGAGCACCGGTGTCCAATGTATCTTACCTCATGTCGCTGAGCAAAAACGTCAGAAGGACTGCTTGAACGTTATCACGGCGACTTACCGATTGAGCACTGCTGCACGCCGAAGTCTATTTCGCCAATCTGGAAGGTGGCCTTCTCCCCAACCCAACTCAGCGGCCCAACTGAAAAGTCCTCCAGAAGACGTAACAGCCCAACAGAACGGTAACGGCAGCTCCCGGCGGCTCTGACATGAACGCGATCTGGTCTGCATCCGGAAGCTGCGTTCCACATGGGAAATGGTGCGATCGTCGGCGATGTGCTGCAGTAGCCATGCATTCCAGAAGGTCTCCCACCGATACCCAAAGATGTTTTGGACGCGTTAATAACGCGCTCTCTCCTCGCCCCCATTGTCCCTCCACCCCTCATGCAGACCACCGCCTACATCATCGACCTTCCGTCCGCCCATCCCTGGCTCGGAGACGGCGGCGCCCACTGGCCACACGGCGATTGCGTCCCCATCTCCGATCAACAGGTGCCTTTCTCACTTGCTCCGTGCTAATCCTCAGCTCATATCTCGCCAGATCGCCTACGACCCGTCTGTCGCGCTCGACGTCTGGCAGTATCCGCACGGATCGGTCGTCTACGATGCGTACGGTACGACGTTGCGCGCGGTGTTGGCGTTCTGCAACTGAGCATTGTCCAGGTTATTCCGAGATGAACGAGCAATTGCTCGACGGCCCATCCGCATCCAACTACGGAGCACCCGTGCTGCCCACCCTCGCGATAGCCTCCGATGGCGCATACGATCCGCCACCACACGACTGCCACTGGGATCAGCAAATGTCCTGCCTGCCCGACGCTTACTACCATCCCGCCGAGCACGCGCTGCAGTACGCTTCAGGCTTACTGTCTGCCTCTCCAGGTGCAGGTGAGAACTCCCTCCACTCTATCGGCATTTGACCTCTAGCTGAGCGCTGTCTCAGATTCATGCTATCCGAGCTTGGATGGCCATAACCATCCGAGCTTGGACGATCATAACCATACCGGAGTCCCCGCGCACAGAGCAAATCACGCGCGTCCTTCATCCGCACCGCACTGCGTCTACCCACACTACGAAGACGAACTCGCCCACGCGCACGGCGCGCACGCCCACATCCGCCCCCGATCCTCGCACGGCGCTTACCACCCCGCTCTCACAGACTGGGACCACGATCCGCGCCACCAGGTCCTCGCCATCCCCGCCGCAGCGTCAGCGTCCAAATCCGCATCCGGCGCGAGCAGACGCTCCTCGAGTAGTCACAGTCACAGTCATAGTCATGCACATGGCCAGGGCCAGAACCAGAACCAGGACGAACCGCACCGCCGCCCGCTCACCCTCGCCTGCCTCTTCTGCCGGAAGCGCAAGATCGCCTGCGGCAGCCCGCCCCCCGGGGCCAAAGACCGTACCTGCAAGTAAGTGTCTCTGTCTCGTGCACGGCCTGTCGACTAAAATGTGTATTGCAGTCAGTGCGCCCGGCGAAACCTCAAGTGTGTCTACCCCGAGGGCTCCCGCCGCGGGATGCGCTCCAAGCTGCTCTACGCGCAGGACGCGCTCGCCCTCCAGCCCATCCCCATCAGCGTCTCCTGAACCGGCTTCCACGTTCCACGTTTCACGTTCCATGTTCCATGCAGCACCGTCCCCTAGAGCACATTAATCACCTCACAGCCTATCCGCATTACTAGCACTCGTCACTTGCACACACACATAAGATAAGGAGACTCATGATCATGTCCGCGTCGTGAATATTGAATCGTCAAGGTGCGATCGGCGCCACCCCATTCTACACGGAATCGTAATGTACAACATAACACGTACCGAAACAGATTGAAATATAACTTGTATGGTCCACATCCATCCACACCACTGAGAACATCCTAGATAGAGAACGACATCCCAACAGCGCCGAAACGCACAATCCAATCCGTCCAGTCCAACACGCTAATGCTTGTTCGTGCTCGACACCAGCCTAATCCCCCCCTCAGAAGGCACCCCGCCCTCCTCCTCCTCCTCCTCCCTCCGCCACAAACTCCCGCTCTGCTCCCTATCATCATCCGGCTGCCCAGACGGATACCGCCTCCCGCCCGGAGACCGCCAAAACTGCAGCTGGTGGTGCTGGCGCGACGGCGACGAGCTGCTCCCCGTGTTCTTCCGCTCCCGCTTCGGGGGCTCGCCCACAGGCGAGCGCGCAAACGACCCGCCGACCGCCGTCGACGGCGTCTGCTCGAACAAGTCGAACACCCGCGGGTGGTGGTACGGATCGTCGCTCCCGCCGAGCATTGGCGGCGCCGTCCGCATCCCCGCCTCTTCTTCCACATCTTCCAGCGGCGAGAGCACGGGCAGAGTGATGACCTGCGCGTCGAACGTATCCTTCAAGTCGGTCTACACGAATCTATTAGCAGCGCTTTCGCCGACCCATCCCAAACCAAGACGCACAGCTTTCGGAGACGGGCTCATCGACTGATGACTCGCGCTCCTATGTTCATGCGTCGCAGAATTATCGCCCGTCCCAGGGAGGTGGTACGAATGCACCACGTCCTCCGTGTCAAACTTGATCGTCTGCTTCCTCGAACCAGGCAACGGCGAGCCAACGTCCGACGGCCGGCTCATCATCGAGAAGCGGTCCCCACTCGTGCCGTCCGGCGTCATCGGCATCGGCGGGTCAAACAGCTGATGGCGCTTCATCCCCGCGAGCGGGTCCCCGCCGGGCACAGGTGGGGCGTTGCTGTACCGCGAGCGCACCGACCCCGTCGCTGCGCTGGACATGCTCATCCTGTGAGCGCTCCGTGCGCGTATGACGCTTCCGATCATGCCGAACCCGCCGCGCAGCGCGTCCATACCAGGGTCTTCGACCGCCGCCAAATTCTTTTCTTCCATGCCCTCCGTCTCCTTCCTGGCGGCCTGCAGCAGGATGGTAGATCGCCGATCGAGCATCTTGAATTCGGTCGGGTCAACCTTGGATAGCTGCAGGATCGTGATGCCGAAGCAGATGACGACGAAACCCATCACGAGCGTGATGATCTGACTAGCGCTCGCTTTGAGTCCTTGGAACAGGACGATTGTCGTGAGCATAGAGAAGAACGTGACTAAACGGTGTTGGTTAGAGTCTCATGTACTCGGACAGAACGATACTCACATATCACGTAGTAAGTCGGGGTAACTAAGAAAAGCAACGGTCAGCGCGCGAGATGTAAGACCATGTTTGACGCGACGTACCCATTGCTACAAGAGAATACACTCCGTGAGTATCGGCACGACTGAATAGCACATCTTTCCAACGTACCGGTATTGAAGAGCGCCAGCGCCTTGTTGAGATAATAAACTTCGGTGACTACGCATCCAATTCAGCACGACAACGTATAACGGCGTAGACTTGACCCTACTGAGAGTGACCGCGATGAATGCCATCAAGAAGTACATGAACCAATACTTGAACTAAGGATGCAACAATGAGATGTTGCGCTCCCCAAGACCTTACTGCCGTACCTGGTTGTCACCCATCGCAGTGGTGACGATCGCAGAGCCCAGTCCAGTGGTGACGCTTACGCTGATACCTCCGATCATGCTGCAAACCATAATGTACCAGAGCATGCTCTTTTTCCCGTACCTTCAGCGCTCAGTGATGAGCGATGTGTACGGAGCCCCCGAGAGTAAAACGACCAACCGGGGCGCAAAGAAGAAAATAATGACAAGAGCCGCTGCGATGAGTATGGAGCCGTACACAAGGAAACCCGGTGCGAGAAACATTTTCTGGAACAGCTTGATCTGCCCGATGGACGATTCCTGAGGGCCTGTCACACGAGAATGAGAACTGACGCCCAACGAACACGGCTAATGGACGAACCGTTGAGCGCTATTATTACAGAGCCTATCTGAGGCGCCGAAACGTGTTAGACCGCTTGACAGTGCGCGGGAAAACTTGGCGTACGATACATAGTCCACATCCCAGCCATCCAAAGAAGCTCAGCTTCTCGTCAAGAAAGAAATGGGACAGGATGGCGCATATCACAACAGACAATGCGCCCATAGGAGTCTGCAGCAAATAGGCCAACTGAGCGTACTGACAATCGGCACGAGATGACGTGATGGACACACCACAACGATGGCTTCAACAAACGCGTATGCTGCGGAAACGTCAGGTCTCGAAGACAGTCCCAATGCGCATCTCCATACCGACAAAGTTACATATCTCCCCAAGGATCATCACTGGGAGCACACGACGTGAGACCGGTAGTTAGGGCGAGAAGGCGGACGTACTGGTCATTCCAAGCCACCATAGAGGCTGCGGTACAGTTAGACAAGGGGCCTGCGGACGATCCTCACGTCACGGACGCACCGACTTCAAGTATGCGACACCCTCGCCGGCGACCAGTCCTTTCTGAGATCTAAGCAGACCCTTCTTTTTGAATACGAAGCTGGAGCCGATGAGCAGACCGCTGGAAATAGCAAGGATAATTCCAACAATCTGGACAGAGGGACATTAAAGTCAGCTTCTCCCATAGAGAGCAGGAGGATGAGGACCTTGAGGTTTCCGGAGACGGTGAATGAACCAGAGGCTGCACTGGAAGACGCCGACGCCGCGGCTGATGCGGTGGAAGAGGAGGAGATTGTAACAGTCACTGTCGCTGACATGGTGCAGATAGTAATCTAGTGTACAGTAGTGCTGCGAGGGAACCCGGACCAGCAGGGCGAGGGCGAAAAGACGCGAGCGAGATGGAGGACGGGGACGAGCGCTGATGAGCGCTTATTTGCTCGCTTGGCCACAGTTGCTATATGCGGCACGCGGGCATAGCCACGCCACCCGTCTCGTTTCACTCCTTTCAAACGCAGGATTTAGTCATTATTTCTTAGTCTGAATCGTAATGAGAATGAGAAACAAACGCTCTTTACGACCTTGCTGGTGGCCTGGCGGACGATACCGTTGAGACAAACTTTGAAATTTGGAGGAATCCAACTCGCCTGCGTCTCGATCCAGACGTGCCCGTTCGTTATCATTTACGACAAGACTACGATTGGTCATGGAGAGATGCTGCGGCCAAGTCAAACGCCGCGGAGCGTCGCAAGCGAAAACTGGCAAGCCCGACCAGTGGCTGGATTATTTGTTCCGAACTATGTCAACATAAAGAGTTATGCTAAGTGGACAACGTGTCAACCGGATCTGTCCCCAAGGTAGAATGCGCGATAAAAACACGATAAACAATGTAGAATGTATAGTTCCGTCTCCGCGACCCAATCTCATCACAGCGCGAGACAAACCGCCGAAGAATTCAAGACCGGAGCAGTACCCTTTTCGCCTGTTCGCTCGCTTGATGCGCTTTGGCAATTGACGGTCTCACCGTCCCACGCACAGGTAACGACCCGGTCGACGTAGTCCTATTCGCCATCCTGCCCGCCGCAGGCACCGTCCTCGTCGCCCGGGGCGTATTCACCGCATTCGCAGCATTGACCACTGCCATCGTGCGCAGCGTCGCGCCATTCTTCCGCGCGACAGCATTGCGAGTGGCATTTGGCTGGCTCGTGGCAGGTGGCAGACGTGACGGAATCGGCGCAGAGATTGTACGGGCGTACGCTTGTCGCTCTCTCCGCTTCAGGAACGGACTCGGAAGATTTTCCTCGTCCGAGAGGTCATAGCATGCAGCTGGCCGTGTTGGGATACTCGCAGGCGCGGTGGCTGTCGACGTCGCTGAAGACACAGTGGAACTCGCCGTCGAGATCGTCGAGGCTACAGACGATACCGATGATGCAGACGCAGACGGCCTCAGGCCTTTGCTTCGTGATGCTACAGTCGGAGTGCGGTCCAATGACGTTCGCCGTGCAGTACGGTCGAGCGAAGTCCGTCGTGGCCCTTGATCGAATATCGGCGCTTTGATCGGGTTGTCCAGCGAGAGCCGTCCGGAGGATGCTCTCTGTAGCGACGGACGTCGCATCCTGTTCGCCTTGACTGTCGTCTGCGGCTGAGGCGTCTGCATCTCTTCCGAGTGCAGGCTCGCGCCCGTACCCAGGCTCGTCCGCCTCTTGGCCGGCGGCAGCGTGTCCGTTTCGTATCCATCCTCCGATACGCTCTCGCCTTCCTCGCAATCAAAGATCTTAGTAAAGTTCAGCCCTACCCGCGGCGTGTCCACGAAGAGTTTCGCGAGCTCCGATGGCCTCGGCGTCGCCACAGGCTCCCCAGTCGCAGTCAGGATCACGCCCTTCATTGCCGATGGCGGATCTGCATCTGACGAAAACGAGTACAACGAGTCCAATGTCCCCGGGCGCGGCGTTTCGAAAACGAGCGGCTTGCAGAACTGTGATGGTCGCACGGGCGTGCGATCAGGCGAGTCCGCCAGGCGCGCGAGCGGCGCAAGGATGTTCTTCACCTCCTCGAGTGGCGTCTTCACCTTAGCGTTCATGCTCGCACCTACAGTCGGTTCTGCGTCAGCATGGTTGAATCTCCCAGCGGTGTATGAAGTGTCGCTAGCAGTACCCTTTTTTTCCGCTGCCTCCAGTGACGCCATCTTCTCCTCCAGCTCTGCGCGCACCTCGTCCAGGCGCTCACGTTCCTGGTCGAGCTCACCCGCCTGACTTCTGACCCACTCCATCCTCTCCTCGATCGCCCGGGTCATCGCCTCACGGGTTTTCGTCTCCCAATCAGACCACATCCGCGCAATGTCCTCTTCGCGCCGCCGCACCGCTTCCATAATCTCCTCTTCTCGCCTCGCCATGCGTGCTGCCACCTCCTGCTCCTGCTTGAGGACTAACACACGCAGCTCCTCATCGCGCTTCGCGACCGCTTCCCTCACACGTACTTGCAGCATGTTCTCTGCTGAGACAGCGAGCCCGCGAAGAGACACGATCTGCTCGTCCTTCGCGGCTACGGTAGCAGTTAGCGCGCGTTCGCGTTCGGCAGCTGCTGCTTCTCGCGCGACGAGATCACGCTCTCGGTTAATGAGATTGGCCTTGTGTGCCTTGACTTGGTTGAGCCTAGGGGAAGTACGTAACTGGGGTCATAGGGAGGAAACAAGATGACCACTGACAGCTTCTGAGTCTCAGCGACTTTGAATGCAAGCTCCAGCCGTTCATGTCCTAGAAGTTGTGCTGCTGACGGGCGCATTGCGGGCTACGTACAGTCTCACAGGTCAGCGTTTACGAGCAATGGTCCCAACACTCACGTTAAGGTTCAGCATAGACTTGATGACGCTTGCGAGTGCATTACTGTACCCTTTCGGTAATGGTGGTATCCTTCCGTTCCTACGGAGGGCTACAGTAGTCTGAACGTGCGCATATATTTGCATACGCACCTGATGAGTATGCTAAGCTCCGCGTGTGTCTTGGCTTCGTGGAATGGCGGTTTGAGTGCACATAGTTCATAGATGAGACAGCCGAGGGACCAGATGTCCGACTTTGAGTCATATGCCTTCTCTTGCATGAGTTCCGGCGACATGTAGTATGGTGTCTGTCACAAAAAGTCCGCATACATTATGGGGACGTGCATCGCACGAGAGCATTCAGACGTACTCCGACGTAGGTATTGGCAAAGCTAGCCTGCGCGAGCGCCTTGGACAAGCCGAAGTCGCCTAGTTTCACCGTGTTGTTTTCGTCCAAGAATACTTTCGCAGTGTGAGATATACCTGTGGATGTATGCCACGATCACTCACCATTGTCCGGCTTCAAATCACGATGCAGAATCTGCGGCCTCTTCTCCTTCCCATCCGCCTCTCCAGAGCCCCCAGCCCTTGTCGGGTTATTCGGATGGTGACAATGGTTGAGTGCAAGCAGAATCTGCATGAAGTAGTTCCAAATGGTGTCCTCCGGTACCGGCCGATTATACCGCTGTGCCTGCTTGATGATGCTCGAGAGGTCGCCGCCACCGCAGTACTCCATGAGAATGTAAAGAATCCCTGCATCGCGATCGACATGCCTATCATGGTAGCGAACGATGTGTTCGTGGTGGAGGTCTTTGAGGATGTTCCTGCATAGGCGCAGGTTAGCCGAGCGAAGACGATGCCACGAAAAGAAGACGTACACTTCTGAGACGATCTGCTTGCGGTCACGCTCTGACATGCGCTCAAAGTTGAGTTCCTTGCGTGCAAATATCTGGGTAACCATACGTTGCAATGTCTGTGAAGGTCCCACCGGAGAATGTTCAAGACTTTGTTACTGACCACGCCGTCCGATTTTCGTCGAACCTTTCTGATGATACCGAAGGACCCTGTGCCAATGACGTCGAGAGGCTCGTACAGGTCCAGTGGTGAAGACATGGCAGAAGGGAATAAAGCAGCTACAAGCGAAGCCGAAGGGAATGGATGAGGAGGAGATAGTCGGAGAGCGACTGGAGCGGTACAGCAACGACGAGCGCCAAGGTTCTGTCTCGGACCAAGTCGAACAGAGCGTGTCACGCGTAGATCACGTGAGCGTGTTTTCGCGTTTCATTTAGCTGCGACGCGCAAGACGCGCGCGAGCTCATCTCGCTCCTCGCTGAAATCCGCCGCGTTTCCCTGAGATTGCACGCGCCTGAGATGCATTATTTTGCTTGAGACACCTAGCGCTGAATATTGAATGCTCATGTTTCTCATAAGAGGCCTTTCCTTAGTTCAAATAGCCATTAGTGCAACATGAATGAGGTTGGAGACTTGCCGCATTACGACTAAAACCTCTCCCCGGTCTGGTCGGATGCACCGCTCGTGGGACATTGTTCTTCCATCGCAGGAAGCTAGTAGTATCGCACACCCTGAGCAGCTAAGTCATGCTCGGAACATAAACAGGCTCTCGAAGGCACGATCTTCGTTTGGCCGATTGCAGCACATCGATCGTTGATTGGAAAAACAGAAATATCGGCGAAGACTCGGTTGCGCACACGGTTGTGTCGCCTTGAAAGCGGCCACGAACCCTTGCAAGGCAATTTGCTGAGAGAGCGAGCGAGACGGGATTGGTGATTGCTGGCGGAGATTGAGAGGTTCTTCAGTAGACTTTGTTCTCGCCTTCGCGGAGCACATGGGTGGATGGAAGCTGTACGGCCAATCGCCTCGTCCACATGGGCCGGGAGCACGCTGCTCTTTACTGTGCGCGTGCTCCGAGCTGGACCTTCGCGCAGAGCCAGATCGATATTGCCTCTCTCCCAATCCAGCCATCATGCAACAGTCTAAACCTCGCATCTCCTGCCGCCTCTCCTCCTTTCCCCCACCAACGTAACCCCCTCTCCCCTCCCGCTCGCAGTGTAGCCTTCTCGCTCGTCTGTCATATCTCAAGCCCCGTCAATGCGTAGGCAGCGAGCGATCCGAGGTTGACTCTATCTCATCGATCCCCATTCCACCAGGTCTCATCATCCGCGACAACGCTGTCCATGTCGGCGAGTACATCGGGAACTACATCTCCAAGCGGTACGCTACAGAAAGTTTGCGATAAGCCCTCGCTGACTGCCTGTACATCCAGTATCAACGACTTTGCCCCCACTCCAGAGAAGCCGTTCGTCCTTGGGCTGCCCACGGGCTCCTCACCCATCCCGACGTACAAGCATCTCATCAAACTCATCAAGGACGGAAAGCTTTCGTCAGTGCCGCAAACTCATACACTTCCAACCCGCGATCTAACGATCCACTCCGCAGCTTCCAAAATGTGGTCACCTTCAACATGGACGAGTACGTCAACCTCCCGCAGGACCACCCCGAGTCCTACCACACCTTCATGTTCCGCGAGTTCTTCTCTCACAGTACGCGCCCGGCCCCGTCTATCATCCGCTCTGAGCTAACTTACCAACCGCAGTCGACATCCGCCCGGAGAACGTAAACATTCTCAACGGCAACGCCAAGGACCTCATCGCCGAATGCAACGCGTACGAGGCCAAGATCAAGGCCTACGGCGGCATCGAGCTCTTTCTCGGCGGTATCGGCGAGGACGGCCACATCGCCTTCAACGAGCCCGGCTCTTCTCTCGCTTCGCGCACCCGCATCAAAACCCTCGCGTACGACACCATCCTCGCCAACGCCCGCTTCTTCAACAACGACATCGCCGCCGTCCCCCGCATGGCCCTCACCGTCGGCGTCGCTACCGTCCTTGACGCCCGCGAAGTCATCGTCGTCGTCACCGGTCAGCGCAAGGCACTGGCGTTGAGCAAGGCTATTGGTGAGTAATCTTATATATGATCGTGGTGCCGATGATTGACCGCGTCGTGTTTTCTCTAATGCAGAGGAGGGCATCAATCATTTGGTACGAGGATCAGCCTTGCTTATCCGGACTCCCGTCTGATCACAAACAGTGGACACTGTCTGCGCTTCAGATGCACCCGTGGGCACTCATCGTCGTCGACGAGGATGCGACAGCCGGTATGTTCTCATTGACCTCTCCACATTGACCCTTCCTCCCCGCTCCTTCAGCCATCATCTTTCGCATGCCGCTCACGGAACCTTTCCTGCTGCAGAGCTGCACGTCAAGACAGTCAAGTACTTCAAGTCGATCGAGCGTGTACAGGACGAGGTCGAGGAGATGCATGCCAAGATCAGACAAGGCGGCCTTCATGAGCCATTGGGCAGCATGGAATGAGCTCAGCCCACTGTGCTCCGCCTTTACACAACCGGAATAGAAAGAAGCGCATCCTGGCCATTCAAAGTGAAAACATGGTCATTGTAATTTATGTCTTACTTGCATATCCGAAGGAGATCTGGGTGCATGGGCTTTCATAAAGGTTTTCACGACATGTGTAGAGCAGACACGAGGATCTTGTTTCCGTGTAGGGAAATGAATACATGACGTTTCAAAATTTCATGTTGCACAATGCGCATACACTGCGCTCTTCTGCGGAAGCCAGACGCATATTGCGAGGCGATAAGAGAAATGAATATCATGACAGCCCGACATCGGATAACACGAGACATATATGATCCACTTAATCCCAGCCCGTCGGAGCGGCAGCGTCAGCTCCCCAACCTCCAGTAGTAGCAGCGGGAGGGTCTGCTGCCCAGTCGGTGGAACCGGCACCTGTAGGCTCCGTAGACCAGTCGAGAGCACCTATAGCAAGTAATCAGCTCAAAACTGCAAACGAAATACAATTCATGACACGCACCGCCCTCGCCGGCCAATGCAGGGTTGATGCCGCCCACGGCGGGGGCAGATGTGGCTTCCCACTCGTTGACAGGCGCCTCGGCAACTGCGCCCGCAGCGGCCTCCGCCTTCGCCTGAGCCTCCTCCTGCTGCTGCTTCTCGACCTCCTCGGGATCGCGGTAGAAGAACATGTCCACCATGACGTTCCAACCCTCGGGAGTGCGGGGGATCGTGCCGCGGAGGCGAAGGACTTCGCGCGCGAGGAGCCACCACATCAGACCGATCGAGTGACGCGACTTGTTGTTCGTTGGAATGACAACGTCGACGAACTTCAGCGGCGCATCGGTGTCGCAGAACGCGATGACGGGGATGTTGACGTATGATGCCTCGCGGATCGCCTGGTGGTCCACACGCGGGTCCGTAACGACAATCAGACGCGGCTCCTTGAATGAACGGGTGATATAATTGGTGAAAGACCCGGGCGTGAAACGGCCCGCGATGGCTTGCGCGCCAGTATTTGCGGCGTACTTGAGTACAGCACGGTGCCCGTACGGGCGAGCAGAGATGATACAGACGTCGTTTGGATTCTCAATTGCTGCGATGATACGAGCAGCGAAGACAAGCTTTTCCCAGGTCTTGCCGATGTTGAGTAGGTGGATTCCTGAGGAAACGTCGAATTCGGGGTGCGCACAAATCGTACAACGTTACTGACCATCAGACCTCCGCTTCCAGACGTACGGCAACATCTGCTTGTCACAGTTTTTGCTACCAATGTGTGATTGCGCAGCCAGCAGGAGCTTTATGTCATCCTCGCTCGCGTTGAGCACAGATGGCAATTTTGACGACATGGTGGACCTAGACAGAGAAAGAAGCGCATCAACATCCGGTGGTCTTGGAAGCCATCCACCGCACGCCTCGCGCGAATTTCGCCGTTTTTGCGCAGAAACGAAGGGTGAACAACAGGAGACGCACCGCGAGGTTGTTTTGAGCCGGGCGTCGGGAAGGCGACGTAGGTGAGCTTGTAGACAGCGATTCGGGCGTGCTCGGTGTGGTCCTCGCCAGCGCTCAATCGTAAGTTCGCGACTTGCCGCAATATTCCCACGCCACACTCGTTACAGTTTTCCTCTGTCCAGCACTGGCTTGACTTCCTCATCCTCCATCGATTTCGTCGTCTACTCCGTCCAAAGTGCTGGAGATATTCTGGTTCAAACTGCACTGCTGTTACGCTACCAGTTATGTGACCATCTGCTACTTTCGGGCTCTTTGAGATCAGGAAGCGGTACTCTGCAGCAATCTCTCCTGCTAAGCCTCGTCAATACCCAGGTGCTCTTTTCTCGCCTCTCGTGCCAGTGCCGCGATCTCTGCAGGGCCTGTCTTGCAACACCCTCCTACAATTACTCCGTGCCAGACTTCTTGTTTCAAGATTGGCTGGGCCATCTCGCACAGCCTGCGTGCCCAACCCTCACCCACCGCTGGTGGCTCCCCTGTTGACCACGTCTGCGTCGCCGGATCGTACGCGTCGCCTCTATTTGGGTACACAACCAGCCACGGCTTCTGCTTGCCATTGAGTATATGGCCAACCGCACTCGTCATCTCCTGCAGTAGTCCGCCGAGGTACTTCGGTTCTGTGCAGTTAATGCCTAAACCCCATGGATGTGGTGTTTGAATGCGCCCTTTCTGTCCCAATGCGGCTTCCGCGACGTCGCATGCCCTGAGTCTCTCTCCACCTTGTGTCCGCTCTTCGGGGAAGCGACCGCCGGGATATACGGTGCCGATCCACCACGGTTTCATTTCTGCTACACCTGTTTCGTTCTGTAGCATCCCTACGGCCCTGCGAATCGCTTTGACCTCCCTCGTGAGTGGCACTGTCTCGAATGCGATGAAGTCGATCAGGTCCCACACATCCCTGTCCTCCGTAAACACGCGCAGCCTCTCCAGGTGGAACGCCGTCAACGCATCTATAGCTTCTTCCTCGAGTCGCCGTCCCTCCTGGGTGTCCTGGAAGGCATTGCAATTCTTTCCGTCCTCGGAGTATCCTCGCGGACCATACGGAGGAGGGTAGAAGCCGTCGAATTCTTGCGCGGGAGAGAGCGTTGCTCCGAAAGGGCCTAACGATAGTGCGATGTTGATCCTTCTAGCAGTCGCCCACGCTCCGCTGTCCGCTTGTTCGTTCACGAAGCGTCTTCGGGCTTCCGCCGCCAGCTTGATAGCCTTGCACATTATCCGTTTAGCGTCGTCCTTCCCGTAGCCGCATCGTTCGAATGTGCTGAATGCACATTGGTATCTACATCTCCTTATGAGTAACTGGTCTGTGGCAAGGAGGGTTGCGTACGTTGAGGTGAGAATGACATCTGCGCCGGCCCGCAAGAACGCAAGATGTGTCTCGATAATCAGTGCCGGGTTGTCCTCGATAGGCTTCGCTGACCACAGGGGTGTGGATATGTTCTGGTGGAACATATCCTCCAGTGTCGTTCCCTACCGCCATGGACATCACGAGCAATAAGCAATTTAGGCACGAGCATGTATTCCGGAGAAAGATGGTACGCACGAAACCACCGTCAAGCACGAGAACTTGCAAAACATGGGCATCTTTCCCAATGGACTCCGAAGTCTCCATGGTGAAATAAGGGTTTCGTGAACTGCAGAAAGACGAGTTGGACAGTTCCGGTCTCGGAGATGATGATGGTCAGGTTGAGAATGTTGGACACGCTGAGCTCGTCATAATCGATGGTCTAGAACGTCGAGTCCTGACCTAAGAGGTATTATGAGGCGAGTGAATCGTATACAAAAAGTTTCTAATGCATAACATGTCATACACAAAGTCCGTACATGATCATGACTACGTACATAGCTACCGTATATTTTACACATGGGTGTTATTCCAAACCGAACGGACAACGAAGTCTGCAGGGTCTGGGTCTGTGATCTGTGAGAGTGCAGGGTTCACGACGAATTGCACTGCAAGAGGCGAAGGAAACATACTCAGTATAGGCTTACGCACGGTGGATGATATAGGACTTGCCTTTGCGGTCGATTCCAGGAATCAGGTAGAAGCCATTGAACGGATTGCCGGTGGTGGTGTCAACGAAATAACCTACAGTTCCTGAGGGATGATCAAGCCATGCATATGCTGCAACGCCGCCTTTCGCGGAGAGCGTGAATGTCAGGCTATCCCCTGCAGTCAGGTCTATCTCAGGGTCGATCAATTCTGCGTTTGCGAGAGAAGTTGGAGTGTACTGTGTTAAGGTACTTCCGTTAATGCATTGCATTCTCACGGCAACGGACAGTGTACTCACGTAAGACTCCATGGTAGCCGTGCGGCCCTCAACCTGCGCGGTGACGTTGAGTAGCATGAACGAGTTTGTTGGCGTCGCCCCCTCCGGCAATATCACGTCGAATCCTTGCATCGACATGAGCACAGTATTATTCAGCGAGGGCGTCGAGAACTCGTGCGTCATTGTCCCCAGCTGGTTCCCCGCCCAGTCATACCACGTCAGCAGCGCTGTGCCGTTCACCGTGTACCATCTGTCGTTCGTGACCATGATATCCAAGGTCTCGTTATCCGGCGTCCAGAATGGGTAAACGATCACGGGTGAGTAGATGCTCGCCATGCCGTAGTTGAGCACCTTCCACCGCCCGGAATATTCAATCGCCGCCCAACTCGGAGCCTGCCATATGTCGTTCAGCTGCCACACGAGCGCACCGAGGTTGTTCTCGCCGAGCCCCGCGCCGCGCCGGTACCATGCGATTTCGGAGATCATGTTCATTGATTGGAAGACCTGCGTGCTCCAGCACCACTGCGCGAATGTTTGATTGGAGTCGGAGGTGCCCGGCGTAGGCAGCCAGAGCTTGACTGCCATCGTCATTTGGCCTTGACCTTGTGGGGCGTTCGGGTTCGGCCATGCGAGACTGCCTGCAGGCGGATGGTGGTCGCGCGACATAACTACTGTCGAGTTGAATGAGTAGTCTTCAGGTTCCCGGAGGGCTTCTTCCCAGGTGTAGAAGGAGGGCATCGAGTGGAAGCTAGGTTGTGATGTCAGCATTGTTAATTGCGAACTTGCGACAGACAACCTACCCAAACTCATTCACAAACCTGCGGCGACGAAGTCAGATGCTTTCGAGCTCCACGTACGCAGAACACCCACCTGGCAACAGGGTAGGTACTGTAGTTGAACGCTTGCGATGCATCATAGTTGTAACGTTCTGGGCAGAGTACATCAGCGTATCAACAGATCGTACTGAGAACTTGACACACCAGCGTTTCCATAGATATAACCAGGCGTCTTGTTCTCGAATCGCAGAACGTACGGATCAAGGCTCAGCACGCCGTTCGTCGTGGAGCAGTCTGTATAGGCCACCTGAGAGCCAGTAAGTATCGCTATGTCTTGACCATCAAACGCGACCTTACTGAAGACTGCTCTTGATACGTGATATCGTGCAGGAAGTCCTGGAACATGTACACGAACTATGCCATTCGGTCGATCAGTTGGTATCTCACAGGTTTCGCCAAGCGATACTCACTTCATCCAGATAATGCGTACCATTCGCATACGTATCGTTGATGTCAATGACGATGTTCTCGATCTCGTTTCCGCCAGCCCATTGCACGTTGCTGGGGTGCTTATTGATTCTGCGTACGTTCTCGCGCACTTCTGGGTCGATTGACACGAGAAGGAATTCGTTCAGCGGGTACGTTGCGTCCGAGAAAATCATCTCGGACCATGCGAGGATGCCGAGCTCATCGCAGAGAGAGTAAAAGTCGTATACGCCAGTCAATTCGTCGGACGGCTGGTAGATTCCTCCGCCCCAGACTCGGAGCTGCAAATAGTCAGCATTTGAAGAATATTTAGAGGCGAGTGACTTGTCGACGCACCATGTTCTGCCCGCTCAGAACAGCACTCTCAAGTACCCAGCGTACCTTCTCCGTCGTGATGCGGGGATAGAACGGGTCGAATGGGATAATGTTCGTACCCTTTGTATAGAACGCTTGGCCATTGATCACAAAGTGCCACTGGTCTCCGGGCGTAATGCCCCTCGCGTCGATCTCTTCCTGCGGATACGCAGTCTGTGCGAGTTCGATTGTGCGGAATCCGCTTCGCAGTTGGAAGCTCGTGCTATCGAGGAACATTCCGAACTCGTCTCCGAGGGCGAGGGTGATTGTGAAGTTATATAGCGTTGGCGTGCCAAGGTCGCGCGGGTACCACCGCTGCGGAACACCCTCGGGCACCGTCATCGTCGCGCTCACGAATGTAGGCGCGTTCGTCGACGCAGGTATCGAGCTGACGGCAATGGGCCCAGAGGATATATCCAGCTCGGGAATGGCGATCTCAATGGTTGGGCTGAAGCTTGGCAGGACCGAGCGCACACCGAGAGTGACGTTGACGAGCCAATCAGCAGTCTGATCAGGGGCGATGAGGGCAGTCTGCCCGAGCTTAGAGATCTCGAGAGAAGTCTGGTCGATGAAGACGCTGCCGCCATTTGATGCGAGAAGAGGATGCGCGGCGGGTGTATCATTACTCGTCTCGAATGTCGGAACTTCCGAGAGCGTAACCAGATATGCCGGCCTGAAAATGCCGGCCGGGACGAACGCTGGACCCTGCGCTTCATTAGCCCGTGCGTCGAATACTCACAAACCGAAAAGCCTCACCCAATCCCATCCAAAGTCAGACTGTATCTTGCGCTCATATTGGCGGAAACCTGCATATTCGAACTGCCGTCCCGTTATTGAAAACACAAGCTGCACCGGAAGCGTGAGTACTCACGTCGCTGGTAAGTGGAACCTCTGTGCCAGGAAGAGAGGTGACGTTCAATCCATAGAAGTAGGCAGATTCGAACGCGACAGTGATGTTACTGTCGCTCTCGGACGGCGAAGCAAGCATGTCTGTCACATCGTACACGTACTGCCGGAACTGATTGTCGACCCAAGCAATGGGGTGGCCAGCGACAGTCTGAAAACGAGTGCATGAGTATCAGCGCTGAGATGACCGAAGCGTCACAGAACGCACGATGTTTGCGATTGTATCCAGGCCGTAAAATACCAGTAATGTCCTCGTGGATGCATTCGAACCAACTACATCAGTATACGTCTTCAGATCCGCAGTGTATGTCCAGCTATCATTGACGATCCATCGTTGGGTATACTCTGCGAAGGTGAGACTTCAGCCGGCGGGTACGGTCGCGGAGGACACACACCATTGATTTCCAGCAGCGGTTCCGTGATGACTCCAGCTTGAAGGAGGTCAAGATGGGCCTGAGACGGCACTGAGCCTGGAATTACTATCGATCCGTTCCCATTCCTCAACGTCCACTGAAGATCAGACAGGCTGAACACATTCGCGAGTGCGACTGCGGGGAGGGATGCTGCGATCGCAGCTAACAAAACCATGGCCCACATCGCGCCTATGAAGTAGCGATATTCGCCTTGCCCTCGTCTGCATCTATATATATACAGGCGAAGGAAGAATGTATCTACCAATGAGGCGGAAGCTGCGGTGACCCATGACCGCTTTCGACGTGCGTGCTCGCTGATTCCGAGGAAAGACGGCCGGAAGAATTCCAAATCGATGATCAATTCACGTAACCGGAAAAAACGTGTTCGTTGGGAGCGGAGAACAAGACGCAGGGACTGTGCGCTTCGTTCGCGAGGTCAGAGTCAAAGATCATCGATCAGTACTAGTCTTCAGCAGCCTCCTGCGGCCACTCATCCACGGGAAGGGGGGGTGAATGGAGTGGGCGCGAGAGTGGGTCAGCTTAAATTTGTGAGCAGCTTTAACTCGTGTTGATGCGCGTACGAAGGTGGACTAAGGCAATCATTCGAAGCCTTCTCCAGATCAGATAATTAGCTTGATGTGGACGCCGTGCTGCTTGCCCGGCCACCGCAATTGCATGTGGACAGCTCGCACAACCCGCGACACAATTAGACAAGGTACAGGCGGCCGCATAGACGATGGAAGACCCCGTGAAGAGAAACGCCAACCTCCGAATTTTGGCCATGACGACCACCTAATCACGATTCGGTCGATTGTCGTAAGAGCTATATGTAGCAGCACGAGATCCGACGTCGGGTGGGCAGAAAGGTCTCGGATGAGAGCTCATGGATGTTGGCAGTGAGTCCTGAGCTCGACGCGTCAGTGGCGCTAAATCCCCCTCGAGGCTGCTGGAACTGGCCCAGCACACCGATTTGCCCTTCGTAAGTTGCATCTAGCCAGCTCAGCTCTGTCTGACACTACTGGTCATGTGGAGAAGCTCCCCTCTCCCCAGCCCTTGAAAGCCAATTTCACGCACACCAGCCCTTCCGTCGTCAGCGCATACAACCTCTGCCGCGCCGCCGAGCTACGGTATCAACCCGGCCCTCATAAGCCGCCTGAAGACAAGGTCATCGCAGGAAAGCTCATCAACGTGCGCATTCTGGGACATCTTCTGTCTTATGCCCCCAACGACACGGCTGTTGCCGGCCTAACGAAAGCCATCGTTTCTGAGGGAAACCAAGAAGTAAATCCCGAAGCGCTTTCTGAACTGGGGGATTTCTACAAGAATCACTTTTTACGTGCCTGTAAGTGCCAGCTTCCCCGGAGTGTACTTTCATCTGACGCCGTTGTTGCCATTTTACACTAGTTCGCCGTTTCAAATGTCGAACACCACATGCATCTACGCACCCTTCTAGGCCCTCCTTTGAATACACTAAAGAACAGATCGCGAGAATACTCCAGGAGTATCCCAGAGATCATTATCACGCGCGAACTCTGGTATGTCTGGCAGCCAATGTTTTACGTACTTTGTTCTAATGGTGCCCAAAGGCAATGCTCCGCGATGGCCATCGGTGCATGTTGACACACAGGACGGATGTCCATTACCATAGAAGCGTATACGCTCATACTGGCAAAGGCGGCTCCGAGAGCGTTTCTGCACTTGAATGTGCCCACATCTTCTCCGAATCCACCAACACCAACCTTCAGAATGCGGCGAAGGTATTGCTTCGCTTTTGTCGCCCGAAGGCTTAAACCTGAGGATCTCGCAGCACAAATATGCCACAACGGCCTGGGCTGTTTTAGAACAATTTGGCTACCCTGCAATCGTCAAAGACCTTGCGGGTGCGAATGTTCATTCGCTGGTGAATATCTTGACGCTGGATCATACATGTGCACGAGCAATTCGATACGCTTGCGCTGTGGTTGGAACCTGTTGCGTTTCGAATGTGAAGCGCTTTTTCTGGCGACTTTTTCGACTCAATGACTTTGATCCTCAGAACAATTGTTACCGGATCGCTTCAGTGACCCAGCGCGAATGTCTCGGAATCATCGAGGAGTACGTCACCTTTAAATCATGCCTCCCTGGAGCCCCGTTGCCAAGTGCAAAATATCTGCAAATCCATGCAGCTTGTTGCAAAGTCGCGCATCTGTCAGGGGCATCGGGCCTTTTTGACAGAATGGAGGAGGAAATGGATTATGATCCCGATCCGGCCACTGTGCCCGCTTTCGCTAAAGCTTTGGAGGCACATTTGGAGCACATTACTCTGGTCTGAGGCACCATCCCATCGACCCCGTGTAGCCATTAGTCTTTGGCTCACAAGTACATGCTGTGTTCGATGATCTTGACAGAAAATCGAACTGGTGGTAGACCCAATTAGCGTGCGGTAACATGGCATTTCCTGTTCGCCATACAATCCTTTGCTTTGAGTTTCAGTGTGACATACCTCACTCCGCACGTCTGCAGCAACACGGAACCGGTGATCTGCACGACTGCAGAAGAGTGCGGTAATACGACTGCGTAAGGATGGTGACTAATGATCTCTTGCTATTGCTGACTCGAACATGTTGCAGGACACGCTACGACTCGTACTGCGACCGCGGTCAATCCCGTCTGCTACCGCTTATCATGCAACAATTCTGACTCGTGCTATAAACAATGAACAGACGGCCGTGACTTCAACCCGTACCGCATGGGCAACACCACCTTCTATGGTAAGGAACTTCCGTAGACACGACCTCCCCGTTCACATTCGTCACCCATTTCATCACCTCGGACGGCACTTCGACTGGCACGCTCTCTGAGATCCGCCGCCTCTACGTGCAGGGCGACGTCGTCATCGAGAACTCATACGTACGTACACCCTTCTCCTTTCTGTGCGCAATCGACTCACTCCGGTACCTAGTCGGACATCTCCGGCATGTCCGCCTGCAACTCAATCACGGACGACTACTGCGTGGCACAGAAGACTGCTTTCGGCGACACAGATGAGTTTGAGACGCTGGGCGGGCTCGCGCAGCTGAGCGAGGCGTTCGAGGCCGGTATGGTTCTCGTCCTCTCGCTCTTGGACGACTACACCGTGGACATGCTCTGGCTCGACAGTGACTACCCTACGGACGAATCTGCCTCTGACCCTGTTGTGGCACGTGGCCCATGCTCGACTTCATCTGGAGTCCCTGCGATCGTCGAGTCCGAATACCTGAGTTCCAACGTCATCTATTCGAACATCAAGTACGGTGACATCGGTACAACGTACTAGATGATTGAGTTTATGGTACATTTTTCTACAAAACTTATCCAGAGGGAGAAATCCTAAGTCGCCTTGTTGCTTTAGGTCTGCTTAGTGTACGAGTATGTTTGCATTTAAATCGTCTATCCTCCTTTGCCCTTGCATTCGCAAAATATGTGAGAAAACAAAAAGCAGTTGACAGAATGTACCTTTCATTAGCGAATGATGAAACGCTAGTGCTCTTGTAGTTGTATAACGTGCGAGAATATATTGCGAGTTTTACTAGAATGAATGTATGGATCTCGCGGACGAAAGTAGAGCTGTAGGTCCATCGATCCCATCTCCGCATTCCTTATGGTGCGAAATGCATTGTCGTGTAGGGCCGAAGCGGATGCATTCCAAAAGGGTGGCCAACTTCGGCAGGCATCCACCAGCGTTAGTATGTACATATGACAGGGTGAGAATCAATACAGACAGCAATGTGAATTCCCGTGATAGATGGACAGAAGCTATAGTGTGGATGTATGAGGGACAGTAGGATGGAGGACGTTGAAAATGATAACAGCACTGGAGGTTAGACGACATATAAGAGAGATTTTATTTTGGAGATTGTGGCAATAGGGCAAAGATCAAGCACAGTTCACCTACGAACTTGGCATTAGAATAAACCGAGCGAAAGGGTCATATCCGGCACATACCAGTCTGCATGAGTTGGGTTCCAAGTCAAGTACATTTTGCGCATTTCGTGACCAGGTGAAGTGCTTCAACTTTTCCTGGAACCACTCCCGGTCTTGTCGCGGTAGCTCCGCATGAGTACAGACGTGTATCTCCTCGAGCTTCGCACATGGGACCGGGAACTCTCGGCGAAGCGTGCGTTCAAGAACCAGTTGGTGGAGTAAGGACTTCAGCTCCTTGGAATGGCTGACGTGCACGTACAGGCGAACGACGCGAGAAAAGCACCGGCGGTCGTCACGGATAAGGGCCATCATCTTGAGAAGCTCGTTGATGCGGGCCGCAGCACGGTGCTGGGTGACGCCATGGATGCTGAAAGTCACGGTCGACAAGGACACCGACAGCACGCCATACTGGTAGAAAATATTCGCATATGAGGGATGGATGATAATCTCGAGCGTGCGGAGCGAGGGAAGGCGTTCTCGGAACGTAGCAGCATTCTGCAGTGTGGTGTTGCCGAACCCATTAGTCACGCAAAGGGTGAGGGATACCAGTTGCGGGGCTGTGATATTGTCCAGCCATTTGCCCATCGTGTTCGATGTGACGCTCTGGAGGCTCAATCGCTCCATACCCGACAGAACAATGACGGACGACGGCACGAAATCGTGCGGTTCGCATTTCCTGAGTGCGAGATGACGGACGTGGGGTAAGCCCTGCATGGTTTTACGGAATGCGCCGTCGTTGCGCTGGCCAGCGTGCAAGGAGCTGAGGTTGATGTCGAGGTCCTTCACGCGAGGGAAACGCTGCTCAAAGTTTGTAATTGTGGGGCATGCCTGTGCAGGAACGCGAATAGTGAGGGTCCGAAGGTTAGGAGCGGACACGTCGGTGAAGTCTATGAGCTGAGGTATTACTGCGCCATTGCCCTGCGATCCCAGAGGAGAGAAGTCGAAAGTGCATTCAAAATGCAGCAGGTTTTTGAGAGGTCCCTTGAGCACTATAGTGCGGGAGCCTGGAATAGTGAGCAACTCGCAGCTGATAAGGAATGTTCGCCACCTCATCTGGTGCTCGGAGAGCAGGCTGATGAGCTGGCGGCAGTAGGATGCCATTTGAGCAGAGGTAAGCGAAGATCGCATTCCCATATGACGTAGATTGATGCGAATATCCAAGAGTTTATCTCCCGACCGTTTGAGAGCATCCGAAACCAGGAATATGGGGGGTTTTTCGTCTGTAAGGACGACGATCGTCGTCCATAGCTCCGCGCAAGAATGCACGATGCATCGCCAGGTTCGACTAACAGCCGCGACACACACCACACGGCGCAGATGGGGTTGCTGCGTGGTGTCGTCGTGGACGTAAAACCTGAATACCCGCTGCAGGATTTCAGCAGGAACGCGACGGATGAGCGGGTCATCTTCGAAGATGAGAGTTGGCAAGGTAAACTTATGTGGTACGCTGCCTGTCGTCAAATCAAACACGACTGTGGCCCGCAATTCGTCATGTTTTTTGACATTCCTACCCTTCGAATCGGAATCATCCTCGTGTCGGAATCGCGACGGCGAGGCGAGATCCCTCGTATGGGTTCCTGGCGTGGATTTCGACGCTGCCGAGCCCATCAATACAAAACTACTGCAACGGACGATATCTAAGGCATATAAGTGATGAATGTCTTTTCGCGAATTGTCTGAAGGCGGCGCCTTGCTCACGGACTCACTCGATGCTTCAAGGGGTCCCGAGCCTCTGATACGACGGTGCTGTGATAGAACTGCTGGAAAGGACGGTGCGTGGCCAACAGAACAAATGAAATGGCGCCGTCGATCAAGCGAACTGCTAGCGGGGCCTAATCGAGTGGTCCTCCGGCAGAAGTTAATCGACGCGGAAGAGCCAATAAAGCCCAGACTCCGGTGTGCAACAGCAGACGCGGAGACCAGAAGACAAAACGAGCGAGGGCTCTTTAATGTGGCTGCAGATTTAGAGAAGAAAGAAAGTGAAGTGAAGCGGGCCCTGCTGCCAGTGATTGTTGATTTTCAGGACAATTTGGAGGCGTAATGACCCTGCAGAGCACCTTTATAAGTGCGTTTCGGCTACTTTCATATCACCTACGGCTTTGCTGCTGAAGATAAGATGCTCAAGTAGGTCGAAGACGCGGTATCCGAGATGGTGGTGCGCTGAGATGCGCGATGTTCAACCGTATTTACATCCGCGCCGCGTGACGTCACGTACCATCACACTCCGTGATGGACGCATTTCGATGGCCAGAGCATCCCACATATATGCACTTTCAATACTCATCACTCATATACTTAAAGGCCCGATTAGAGAACACGACATCGGTCTCCGAGTCGCCGTTGCGTTCGCCCCTGCAGTCCGTCTCATTATTCCGAGGCTCGAGCCATCGGCTGATGATCGATGCTTCTCGCATCGCTCTGCTGTGTCAAGTGTGGCGTTATGGGTACCTGACTGGGTGTACTGGAGCATAATAGCACACTAAAAGTGCTGCTGGCTTGAATAATTTTCAATGCTTGTCGAGTCGGAGTCGATAGCTGAGATATCGGAAACGTTGGATGTGGCGCCACGCCACAACCGCGTCGCGTCGAGTCACATGCCCACGTTGTGATACGTTGTGACGCGATGCGGCGTTGGCGCTAAATCGCTACTGGTGCAAGGTTCCGCTCCTGGTGTTAGGTTCGCTGGTCGAGTGCCTTCTGCCCAGAACGCTACTAGTCTGGCCTTGCAGCCCATCGAACGAATGGTAAGACTGCTACGATTAACAGGATTTATCCTGTCTCGGAGTCAAGAATATCAGGGTGGCCCATTCGATTGTCCACTTCCTTCCTCTAGTACTACTAGCAGGCTATCCTCGTTCCCCAGCACTCGGGATGCCAAACCGGCGATTGCACTTTGTGCAGGTATTGTGGGTCTTCATTTGTGTATGACTCTTCCTTTCCCATGCTGACTCGCTTGCTTCGCGCTACCGATTCCTGCGCATGAAGCATGACCGGCATGACCGCTAGGGGCAATCCACGTCGTTGTTCGCTCGAAGAACTCGCTCGCGAAAGTGCTTTGCGCTCATGGCTGGAATGAACCCGCGCCCAGAGACAGATCGGTTGACTCAGGGTTGCAGATGACCGGATTCGTTGCTGATCTCGTCTATAGCAACTACGTGTTCATACTTCTGACTTAATTGCAGACATTTTCTGTTTGCATAAGCAATCTCGTAGCGCAAGCGAAAAGGCGGTAAGCATTTGCATTTCCGCGTACTGGCCTGCACTTATTCGAGATACAGCGAAGCGCTCGACACCGTGGCATCGTACTACTTACAAGATCGAACAAGTAGAGTCGGACATGCACGAGGCGCATTGCGCGCATGTAGCTAGCGGTAGCAGAGTTGTTATCTGTTGCGGCTGGTTACCTCTTGCGGTGCGTCTTGTGCTGTAGTTGCCCGGCGAGGTGAGTAACATTTAGTAGTCTGATTACATCGGCCAGAAATGTGACCAAATTTCTTGTGGGACATCAATGTCTGAACTCTCGGAACTGGTTGCGATGCAGAGCACGTATCATTTTCCGCTAGTGTTGCACGTGTCTACTTTCCTGCACTCGGTACTGGGCGTTGCCCAGACATCCCCAGACATCTCGTCCTTGATGCCGTTGTCGCGCCCATCAATCGTCGCGTACTATGTGGTGGATCACATGTCAGCCGTCGCTAACGTGTATGATCTCCGTCGGTTCATTTCGAGCGTACGGATCCCCTCTCT